ATCACCAAATAAAAGTCTTACGGAATATCTGGTGAGTTTTTAAGTTGATTCATTAACCAGCTGAGCTGTTAAGTTGGTTCACTAACCAGGTGAACTGTTAAGTTGGTTCACTAACCAGGTGAGCTGTTAAGTTGGTTCACTAACCAGGTAAGCTGTTAAGTTGGTTCACTAACCAGGTGAGCTGTTAAGTTGGTACAGTTATTATTTATCAGATAGGCAGCAGAAAGTCTTTATTTCAAATTCTGTTTCTTGTACTGGTCTTGTAAACGCAGGAGAGTCTCGGAATTCTATTTTTGGACCATTTTTATTCCTAGTTTATATTAATGATAAATCTGATGTACTGTTCTCCATCTCGAGGCTTTTCGCTGACGATACCTCTCTTCTTCGCATGTCATCTTCCTATCATGAATTAGAAAATATCCTCAACACAGATCTTGATTCATTAAAAGAAAAACACACTTGGTCAGTTGATTGTAATGCTAGCAAAACTAATGTTTTATTTATTACTAACGCTGTAAATGACGATGGAAGTTTTGAATCATATCTCAGTGAAGAACTTCTTAATTTTTGTATGACAGTCATAGACAGTTGCGAGTAGTTCTCAACGCAGAAGGTAAATGGGGAGATCACATAGCATCTATTTATACATCTGTCACGAAGAAAATAAATGTTATTGTGAGTCTAAAGTACATCTTGAAAGGACAAACCCTGTTTAAAATGTATACGTCTTTTATCTTGCCGATTTTTGATTACTGAAAGTGATGGACGGATATATATTTACAGAAAAATTTAGAAAAATGCCAACATGTGGCAGCTCGCATCATCACCGGTCTCCCATCCTATGCTCCTTACGACTCTCATTATTTCGAAACAGGATTAGAAAGACTATATGACAGAAGAAAATGAAGGAAACTTCAATTACTGTATAAAATGAAAAACGATCCTATTCCAGATTTTCTGAATAGAATTCATTCTAACACAGTTACCCAGATATCCCTTAAGAAATGCTAACGATTTTATCTTACCAAAATTCAGACTATCCTCTACTAATTCACTTTTCCTTCCTTCTACTCTTTGTTCCTGGGAAATTCTCGATGTTACTGTTACATCGTCAACAATTTACAGTAAATTAAAAAAAAAACAACACACATCTCACGAGATATGGTGAAAAAAGGCTAAACATTATTCATACAAAATTTAGGTATAACTGTAGTTCACTTAATCATGATCTTTTCAGAGTAAACATTGTTGATGACCATGTCTGTATCTTTGGATCTCCATGTGAAAATGCCTTTCATTTCTTCTTCAAATGTCCTATTTGTCGGCATTAGAGTTTAGAGTTGTTTAAAGTTTGAAAATAGCCATGATACTAACATAGACTGTCTAGTAACACGTATGGATCCCTTAGTGGATAAAACAAAGTCATCTTGATGTTTTTGAAGTGTGCTCAGATTTATAAATACCAGCGGAAGGTTTGATTAATCAAACAATCATATCACTTAAAGATTTGTGAAATTGTTCCCCCCCCCCGTCTCTCTCTCTCTCTCTCTCTCTCTCTCTCTCTCTCTCTCTCTCTCTCTCTCTCTCTCTCTCTCTCTGTCTGTCTGTCTGTCTGGGTCTGTCTCTATGTCTCTCTCTCCCCACTCTCTCTCCCTCTCATTAACTTGTTTTCTCTCTCCTCTCTCTTTCTATGTCTCTCTGTCTCTTTCTCTCTCTCTTTCTTTGTCTCTCTCTCTCCCACTCTCTTTCTATCTCTCCCTCTCTCCCATTCTCTCCCCCCTCTCTCTCTCTATCTCTCCCTCTCTCTCCCACTCTCTCTCTCTCTCTCTCTCTCTCTCTCTCTCTCTCTCTCTCTCTCTCTCTCTCTCTCTCTCTCTCTCTCTCTCTCTCTCTCTCTCTCGCTATCAATAAGTTGCGTAAATTGTCCTATCGATTTATTGCTTGTATTTATGATGTATTTTGAAGAAAAATACTGTGATAAGTTGTGAATACTTATGTCCAATTATTTTGTAACTATTCATTTGGAATGAAATATGTTTAAATCAAACGGATGTTTAAAACCATTATAACGTTTTATTCGAAACTAGATCTATAATGATTTTCTTCAACTGTCCGAGTAATCTACCTGTGTTAGCCAAACAAATACCTGTCACGATCGCCAATTTCTCGAGGTTATATTATATATGTCTATGTAAACCAGTCTGAATGACAAAACCCTGACATTCGTAATAAGGGTCCCTGGATCATACAGCATATTGACTGTTTGCAATTTACGATAGTTGATTAAAAAATAAATAAACGTGTTAAAAGTTTGGCCATTGTGGAATTGCATATATCCTGTAGATCCCCAGGAGTGTACAAAAACTCAGCAGACCGTAACGGACATGCTATGGCCACATTCATAAAAGCGACTAGTAAAAGGGTATAAGTAGAACACTATTTGCGGGAGCTTTGCTCACGTGACAGCACACGCTTGCCAGCAAAGTCACACTTGACTTCTTCATGAAGACGTGTTCTAATCTCGCTTTTGTATTCTATATATACAAAAGGAAAAAACTTAAACGCGGTATTTCAAATCTATTCACTTCAAAACACACTAATTTAAGAATACAAACGAAATCAGACATTGAAGTAATGTCGGGTATTACATTTTGTAAATTGTGAAATTAAATTTCGGTCCTCACCTCCGTTTAAATAATCTTATTTGATATTTTCTACCTGATGCCCTTTGTGTATCACGGTATAGGTAACGTATATTGAACGTTTGTAAAACAGATCCGCTACACCAGTACCCAATAGCTTCAAAATCTCACCGTATTTCGGTGGGGTTTTTTTTGTAAAAATATTGCTACGTAAAGTAACCAAATGGGTATTATAAACAAAAATACCTCTCGGTAGGTTTGGTTTTATTAGTTGCATTGAATTTTAAGTGAAATAGCACCAAATATGCAAATGAGTGTGTACCAACACAGACGTCCTTACAGACCATATATAAGAAATACACAAAAGGGTGGATGGTGGGGTTTGTCACCTCCAAAAGAAAGCCTTCAAACTTCACTTTGTCCTTCAAGAAGAAAGAAAAAGGTTAGATACAGTAGAGCCAAGTAATGAATGAAACTGCACCTTACAACAGTTTCACCCATGTTCCCCTCGTCAGTGATATTAAGGGACTAAAATTCTGAAGGCTAAGAGGCGACTAGGGCAAATCCAAACTGATCGAAAGACACTGGACGTTTCTCCATTGTGTCAAACTGTCAGTGTAAATTCTTTTAGTAATAACTTTAACAGACAAACAGGATTCAATTTTCATTTTTGAAAGAAACATTGACATTTAAAACTCGACAACTAATGAGTCTAGTATCAATAACGTAACAGTAGCACAGTGATAAGATACCTGCTCTCAGATGCAATGCTCTTGGATCGAATACTCATATCATTCCTTTTCTTGAGGGAGATTACATGGTATTTTTCTATTTTGTTTCGAAAGGAAACATTTAGATATGAAACAATTAAATCGTTGGTTGTTTCAGATGTGAAATGATGCGTAAAATATCAATCTTACATTCTTACATCGTATCCAATCCCAAAAGCGTCCGTGTATCTCTCTCTGCCTCGCTGTCTCTCCCTCTCTCTCTCTCTCTTGTTTTCTGTTTTCACTCTCTCCCTCTCTCCTCTCCCCTCTCTCTTGTTTTCTCTCTCCTCCCCCTCTCTCTCAAAGTCTTCAATTGTATTCAGTTCATTAAACATCTTACCCAGGCAAATATTTATTTTTACTTGAAACTTGAAATATGTGTCACTGGAGAGGACGTTAATAATGCTGTATTAACTACTTGTGCCCATCCTATTATCTTTTTCCTAGCAATAAAATACGTTTGAAACTACATATTTGCGCGCCTGGAACGTGGAAGAACGTGCACTTCTTATGTTTATTTTGTGTCAACTTGCTACACGTGTGTTTGAACTGTGATTAGGTTAGTTGTTAATATTATTCTATAACTTGTCTTAATTGGAGGAAGTAAAGGCAATAATAATAATAATAATAAAAAGCTTAATGTCCCATTCAGTTATTTGTTGACCAGCCTTACCACTGCTACTCTTTTGACCAGTGATAAGTATATAATAGCATTTATTAGCATAAATAGTGGACGCAGGCTTGTAGCCTCTATGTCCACATCAGCATCAACACATAGCATAAAGTAAATAATTCCTATGTACAATGGCTTAACACTGTAAAGGGTTATTTTTCCAGTGTCCATCTAGCCTTTTTTCAAATCGTATAACAGATTCAGCATTGACAACATTTTGGGGTAAGCTGTTCCATAAATCAACAACTCGATAGCTGAAGAAATGCTTCCTTCCATCAAGACGACATCGCTTCATAAATACTTGTTATTGTTATTAGATATCTGGTTCTATTCATATTGTCCATTTGGAAAAAAACTTCTTGTTACCTTACCATCATATTTATTAGTTAACATTTTGAAAACTGTCATCTTATCTCCTCTGGTCCTGCGGTCTTGTAGTGTCGGCAGATAAGTGAATCTCATTTTCGTGACAAAAATATAATTAGATTTGAATAACTTATCACAAAACTGACACGAGTCAATAGGAAAATCACACTGCTTTTAAATGCTATGTATTTAAAGATGTTTCTAATTATAATTTTGGCTGAAAATGGTATTCACTATAGGGCGGCACTATGTATCAGTTGAAGTTATACATTGTTTTTGTTTTTGTAAGTATCAAAATTAAAAATATTCTTGTCACAGAACGAAGCACAATCAATTTGAAAATGATTAAGCTTTCTAATACTGTTTATTTTTAAAGGGTTAGTTATGTACGCCTTTAGAAAAAAACATGTATCATAGCTACTTAACTCGAACTTCTCCGCAAATAGATGTAGGTAGTTTCTTATCGTTCCGTATTATACGTTCTCGATTGCAGGGTAGTTTCATCGGGAGTGGCCTCCCTTTGAGAGTTCTTACTTCCACTGTAAACACACATGAGAGTCAGCTGACATGCATCACACTTGAGAGTTGAGATCTAAACGGGTCAGCTGATCATTACTGTCCACATACAGTAAAAAATGCAGCTGTATATTGTCGCACTGGTATGTTTTTAATATTTAACTATGAGACTGGACTGTTTCGCTAGAATATTGTTGCTAGCAGATCATTTAGATATTTTCAGGTTTTATAGACTGTTACAACTTCCTGTCACAGTTAAAATTATTGCTTGCATTTGTATTAGACAAAAGAGCTCTGACTTTCTATCCGCAATTTTTGTCCCGATCGCGTGAGTATACGTCATGGGTTGAAAGGAAAACGACCCAAATATATAACAATGTGTGATGAACAAATTTGGAAGATTTAAATCCTTGTATGTTTACGGATATTGACAAAGGGTGGGCAAATTTGTGTATTATACCCAAGTAAATAGTTTTCTAAGACTTGTTAATATTAATGTACAATGTGTAACGTGTTTTGTAAGAAATAGTTTTAATTATCTTGCTTGTCTGCCTCACATTTCATAATTGCCAAAACGGTGTAAGTCTGTTCTTTCACAGGCTCGATAATAATGCATTTAAAAGCATTGCCGTTTTTGTTCTGTATAACATGTCTTGCATGAATGATGTGGTTGATGATTCGAAATGACTGATACTTTATATATTTATAAATCATAAAATTCTTACATTATTTGTATGCAGCTGTACATGTATTAACAGTGCAGTATATTACTATACATATTTGCTATTTTTTATTTAAAAAAACATTGGAAAGCTTCATATTTGTAGATATTGTCATATGGGTGTTTATCTAGATGTCTCCTGTTTTTAAAGGGAATTCTATTCAGTTATATCCAAGTTGTTGAGCCTCAACATGGACAAACAGTAAAGCATGTTCACATGATCTTCATGAACCATCTAGGTAAGTGTAATTTTCTTCTTAAACATCATTTCCTTTTGGTTTCTTGCAGGAAAACATAATTGACTTGAAGTTTCTGGAGAAAATTATTTTATATGCAAATTAATAATCAAGCTATGCTAGATTGTTTTTTCTTTTTTTATTTCATAGATTATAACTAATTCATTATGTATGAATCAATCCAACAGACTGGAGGCGGGTTCTTCAAAGATTTATTATAGGTAGTCGGTCTACCGGTTTCGCCCTTCTAATTGGGGTTCATCAGGACAACATTACCTTGAGAAATATCCCTAAAGTATACTTAGGGCGGGCAAATCTACATTGTTACTTATGACGTGATTAATTACGATTGATAACTCTATAAATTATTATGAACATATAATGTCTGTCAGTATCCTTCACGGTTATATCTGTACAATTATAAACAATAAAGTTAGTATGAGCAATTAACTCAGTTCATTGATTCTCATCTAAGCACAGCGTTGACATGGATTCTGACTGGTACTTCAATTCCCGGTAATTCACGCGCTTCTCATCTTCCACTTCGGATGAATTGGGGGTCGAGGCCGTGCTATCTGAATCGCTTAAAGCCAAGTCCTGCTTCAATAAATCAATGGCTTCCTCCAATACTGGTCTCATCGGGGGGCCGCTGATGTTGATTTTGGTTGCTGGCCGTATTCTAAATTTAGCGTTCTCCAGTTGTTTTCTGGTGAGTACTTTGAACGGTCTTTTGCTGTCTGGTTTGACCGCTTCCTGTCTAACTTTATCCTCGTAAACCTCAGAATATGTAGATTTTCATATAAAATCGCTAGCCTCTAGCACGGACTCCTACATTAAGGACACTAATGATTTTTTGAGGAAAATAAACGAACTAGGGGTCCTACCTAAGGACAGCCTACTATGTATGGCGGATGTATCATCGCTGTACACTTCTATACCACACGCGGAAGGAATTAGAGCCGCTAAAACGGCATTGGATAACAGAACAAACAAACAACCCAGCACTTGGATTATACTCAGAATGACGGCGATAATTCTCACGAACAACTGCTTTAGATTTGGTAAAGAGTTTTACCTACAGAAGCAAGGCACGGCCATGGGCACCAAAATGGCACCGAACTACGCTATAATTTTTATGGATTTTGTGGAACGCCGATTCTTATCCACGCAAAGACTATTACCTCTAATATGGTGGAGATACATTGATGATATCTTTTTTATTTGGCCACACTCTCGAGAGGCGCTATCCTCATTCCGTGAGGCTATGAACTCGTTTCATACCACCATCAAGTTCACCTTTGAAGTAAGTGAAATAGAAGTGAATTTCTTGGATACTACTATCTACAAACTCCCTAACGGGAGTCTGGGGAGCAGATTATTCAACAAACCCACTAAAGCATTTTTGTATTTACACTATCGGAGCTGCCATCCACGTCAACAAATTACCAGCATACCATACTCCCAGGCATTGAGGATTAAGAGAGTTTGTAGCGAGACCATACACTTTGAACATGAATGTCAACAGCTATTGAACAGATTTGTTTCAAGAGGATATCCTAAACAACTAATTTTGAACGCTATTGACAAGGCGAGGAGGGTCCGGAGGGACCAGCTTCTCAACCCAAGTCACAATGAATCCAACAAAAAATTGATACCGTTTATTGTTACGCATAACCCGAGAAATCCGCCTATAGCACAGTATTTGCGGAAATATAAATATATTCTTAGACAGAGCCCGCCTACAGAAAAACTTCTTGAGTACCGCATGATAGTGGCATTCAAGAGACCTAGATCTATCAGAGACCTTCTGATCAGAACCGATATCAACCAGAGCACGGTCCAACACGGGAGCGGACCATGTGGACAACAATGTAGGATTTGTAAATTCATGGTAGCGAACGTAGTATTTACCAGTAAATCTACAGGGGAAAGTTACAAGATTAGAAACCATATAACTTGCAAAAGTGTAAACGCCGTATACTTGATTACCTGTAAGATATGTGGGATCCAATACGTAGGTCAGACTTCTACTACTATTAATACCAGGATCTGAAACCATTTATATGATATTATACACGGGAATCAAGAGAAACCCGTAGCGCGGCATTTTACGTCGCCAGGTCACAATGCCGATGACGTTATAGTTACCGGCATAGTGACCGACGTCAACAACATCAACTGCCGTCTACGGACTGAAGAAAGCTGGATTAGGATCTTACGTACACGACAGCCGGAAGGCCTAAACTTGATATCATAATGCCGAACCTCAAGAAAATTCCACAGAAGCAGGTAACCAAAACCAAACCCACCAGATCCATAAGAATACCGTGTATTCTATGTGGTAAATCTTATGCCTCCATAAGGAATTTAAGAAGACATGTTAATGTGGCCCACGTGGCCATCAAAACCTGGTACAAATGTAAAATATGCAAAAAAACATTTGGCAGAGATGGTGATTACAAGAGACATATGAAGAATTTCCATCCAGGTTACGTCGTCGAACCTGAGGTTTACGAGGATAAAGTTAGACAGGAAGCGGTCAAACCAGACAGCAAAAGACCGTTCAAAGTACTCACCAGAAAACAACTGGAGAACGCTAAATTTAGAATACGGCCAGCAACCAAAATCAACATCAGCGGCCCCCCGATGAGACCAGTATTGGAGGAAGCCATTGATTTATTGAAGCAGGACTTGGCTTTAAGCGATTCAGATAGCACGGCCTCGACCCCCAATTCATCCGAAGTGGAAGATGAGAAGCGCGTGAATTACCGGGAATTGAAGTACCAGTCAGAATCCATGTCAACGCTGTGCTTAGATGAGAATCAATGAACTGAGTTAATTGCTCATACTAACTTTATTGTTTATAATTGTACAGATATAACCGTGAAGGATACTGACAGACATTATATGTTCATAATAATTTATAGAGTTATCGATCGTAATTAATCACGTCATAAGTAACAATGTAGATTTGCCCGCCCTAAGTATACTTTAGGGATATTTCTCAAGGTAATGTTGTCCTGATGAAGCCCAATTAGAAGGGCGAAACCGGTAGACCGACTACCTATAATAAATCTTTGAAGAACCCGCCTCCAGTCTGTTGGATTGATTCATACCTATTTAAGCTCACCCCTTCTCATCAATCCCCTGCATACCCTAGGGTATCCAGGCGGGAGGCGAATAACCTGCAGACCTCTATTAAATACAACAGCGGCGTTGGCTCTATCCTTTACTCACTAATTCATTATGTTTTACAAATTTATGAAATGAAACATAACCAGAAAATTGTGATATTTTTTTTTTAGCTCATTGAACTGCAGTGGTGTTGCATCCATTCTCCATCTGGTGTCAATTTTTTTTTCTTTAAAAGACTTATTATCAATATGGCCAGATGGCATAGAATCATGATGGACAGCCCCCTGAATGAAGCCTGTGAAAAATTGTAAAAAGAAATGACTTTGACCTATAATTCAAGATCACAGAGGTCACAATTTGTTCAAACCTTGTACAACTCTGTAATAATGAAAAGGCCTAGAATAATGATACTGGGCTGGTTGGTCTGTTCCTACATGTGGACAGAATGCCAAACTAAGCTTGCAAAAAGAAATTACTTTCGCCAATATTCAAGGTCAAAGTGGTCAAATTTGAAAACACATTTGAATAACTTATCTTCAAAAAACCAAAAGCCTTTGCCTGGTACCTACAATGATCCAAAATTTGAGAAGAGAAATTACTTTGACCAAAATTCAGTGTCACAGGGGTCAAGTTTTTTGAAACCTTCAAACAATTTCTGATTTACCAAGTGGCATAGAATCATGATATTTAGCTGAAAGGTTACTTGAATGAACCTAATACAGTTTGAAAAAAGAAATGACCTTGACCCATATTTAAAGTTATAGGGGTCTTCTCATTAAGATTAATCAAGGATTTGAGTGTCTGTGATGTAGGTTCATTGGATCTCTTTATGTTGATTTCATTAGAAAGAAACAAATTGTGACAGTATTTGATACAATCTTGTGATATTTGACTACTACCACTACCATTGTGTAAATATTATAAAACACTGTAATATATGTGTATAACACATTTATATTGTTATCCAGATGTTGGATATGATGGTCTCCTTCCTAAAGAGATTGGCTTCATCAACAACATTCTAAATAAGTATTTCAATGAGTACTTTCCCCGTGCTATCAAAGTAGCTACACAACTGATGGGTCTGGGGTACTATGAGAAGTTAATCTACACCACACACCCCTGGCTGGTCAGTCTATATATGGACTGTCCACAATACCTCACACTGGCCAATATACAGCTCCAGGTAATTATGTTGTAGCACCTATATATATAATTTACAAGAAAAAGTAAAACCTTTAACATATATCATCCAAAGTATCTACTGTCACACATGTGATGTTTGATTCTATATGTGTTAAGTGTTAAATGTTGTGGCATATATAATCTGAAATGCTTCTTTTGCATGTAAAAGGTTTGTAGAATGATACAAAATAAACAAAAGTGTTTTGCTAGTGCCTTAAAATGAAAATGGTTTTCATAGAGCATGTCTGATATACACAAGGGAGATAATGCCTAATGTTCATAGAAAATATCAGGTCTTCATAAACACAATACATACATGTCTCCATAAACACAATACATACAGGTCTCCATAAACACAATACATACAGGTCTTTATAATCACAATACATACAGGTCTTCATAAACACAATACATACAGGTCTCCATAAACACAATACATACAGGTCTCCATAAACACAATACATACAGGTCTTCATAAACACAATACATACATGTCTTCATAAACACAATACATACATGTCTTCATAAACACAATGCATCCAAGTCTTCATAAACACAATACATACAGGTCTACATAAACACAATACATACATGTCTTCATAAACACAATACATACCTGTCTTCATAAACACAATACATACAGGTCTTCATAAACACAATACATACATGTCTTCATAAACACAATACATACATGTCTTCATAAACACAATACATACATGTCTTCATAAACACAATACATACATGTCTCCATAAACACAATACATACATGTCTCCATAAACACAATACATACATGTCTTCATAAACACAATACATACATGTCTACATAAACACAATACATGCAAGTCTCATAATCACAATACATACATGTCTACATAAACACAATTTATACAGGTCTTCATAAACACAATACATACAGGTCTTCATAAACACAATACATACATGTCTTCATAAACACAATACATACATGTCTTTATAAACACAATACATACATGTCTTCATAAACACAATACATACATGTCTACATAAACACAATACATGCAAGTCTCATAATCACAATACATACATGTCTCCATAAACATGATTTATACAGGTCTTCATAAACACAATACATACAGGTCTTCATAAACACAATACATACATGTCTACATAAACACAATACATACATGTCTCCATAAACACAATACATACAGGTCTTCATAAACACAATACATACATGTCTTCATAAACACAATACATACATGTCTACATAATAATCACAAATCACAATACATACATGTCTCCATAAACATGATTTATACAGGTCTTCATAAACACAATACATACAGGTCTTCATAAACACAATACATACATGTCTACATAAACACAATACATACAGGTCTTCATAAACACAATACATACATGTCTACATAAACACAATTTATACAGGTCTTCATAAACACAATACATACATGTCTCCATAAACACAATACATACATGTCTTCATAAACACAATACATACATGTCTTTATAAACACAATACATGCATGTCTTCATAAACACAATACATACCTGTCTTCATAAACACAATGCATCCAAGTCTTCATAAACACAATACATACAGGTCTACATAAACACAATACATACATGTCTTCATAAACACAATACATACAGGTCTTCATAAACACAATACATACAGGTCTTCATAAACACAATACATACATGTCTTCATAAACACAATACATACATGTCTTCATAAACACAATACATACCTGTCTTCATAAACACAATACATACATGTCTTCATAAACACAATACATACAGGTCTACATAAACACAATACATATAGCCAAGTTTGGTGATACATATTCAATTTTTATGAAAATGAACATAAATTTGAAATTCAATAGAAGTTTTTGGGGCAAAATATATTATATTTTTTAAAAAGAAATATTTAATTTTGGTTGTTTAAACCAGAGTTTAAATTGAATCTTTCTCAACAGTGTCCTAATGCAACAATGAAGGAGATGTTCATAAACGCAGTCAAAAGTGGGATCATCACTTGGCATGCTGGCCCAATGAACATGCAGTTTGAGACATTAGAACCATCAATAGTTAAGTTTGGCCTACAGCTAAGTACAGACTTAGACAGACGATTTAACATTACCAGAAAACATCGCACCCTCAGTCAAAGAGATGTTCCAGGTAAATATAAAATCATCACTCTCAGTTAGAAAGATGTTATCACCTTCAATTAGAGGGATTTTCTAGGTAGTTAACACCCCCAAGAGTGAAGAGTAGGCCATCCGTCAGAAAGATATTCTAGGTAGTTATTACCCTCTGTCAGAGAGACATTCTTAAGTAATTATCACCCTCTGTCAGAAAGATATTCTAGGTAGTTATCACCCTCTGTCAGAGAGATATTCTAGGTAATTATCACCCTCAGTCAGAGAGATATTCTTAAGTAATTATCACCCTCTGTCAGAAAGATATTCTAGGTAGTTATCACCCTCTGTCAGAGAGATATTCTTAAGTAATTATCACCCTCTGTCAGAGAGATATTCTAGGTAATTATCACCCTCTGTCAGAGAGACATTCTAGGTAGTTATCACCCTCTGTCAGAGAGATATTCTAGGTAATTATCACCCTCTGTCAGACAGATATTCTAGGTAATTATCACCCTCTGTCAGAGAGATATTCCAGGTAGTTATCACCCTCTGTCAGAGAGATATTCCAGGTAGTTATCACCCTCTGTCAGAGAGATATTCCAGGTAGTTATCACCCTCTGTCAGAGAGATATTACAGGTAGTTATCACCCTCTGTCAGAGAGATATTCTAGGTAGTTATCACCCTCTGTCAGAGAGACATTCTAGGTAGTTATCACCCTCTGTCAGACAGATATTCTAGGTAGTTATCACCCTCTGTCAGACAGATATTCCAGGTAGTTATCACCCTCTGTCAGAGAGATATTCTAGGTAGTTATCACCCTCTGTCAGAGAGATATTCTAGGTAGTTATCACCCTCTGTCAGAGAGATATTCCAGGTAGTTATCACCCTCTGGCAGACAGATATTCTAGGTAGTTATCACCCTCTGTCAGAGAGATATTCCAGGTAGTTATCACCCTCTGTCAGAGAGATATTCCAGGTAGTTATCACCCTCTGTCAGAGAGATATTCTAGGTAGTTATCACCCTCTGTCAGACAGATATTCTAGGTAGTTATCACCCTCTGTCAGAGAGATATTCTAGGTAGTTATTACCCTCTGTCAGAGAGATATTCTAGGTAGTTATCACCCTCTGTCAGAGAGATATTCTAGGTAATTATCACCCTCTGTCAGAGAGATATTCTAGGTGATTATCACCCTTCGTCGGACAGATATTCTAGGTAATTATCACCCTCTGGCAGACAGATATTCTAGGTAATTATCACCCTTCGTCAGACAGATATTCTAGGTAATTATCACCCTCTGGCAGACAGATATTCTAGGTAATTATCACCCTCAGTCAGAGAGATATTCTAGGTAATTATCACCCTCTGGCAGACAGATATTCCAGGTAGTTATCACCCTCTGTCAGACAGATATTCCAGGTAGTTATCACCCTCTGTCAGAGAGATATTCAGACTTCAGTAGGTATAGCCCTTACTAAGACTACTTTTTTTTCACTCTGACCTCTATAGATGTCTTACCTTACTTGGATCTCTGTAGTTGTCTTCCCCACTGAGATATGTGTAGATGTCTTACCCTACTTGGATCTCTGTAGATGTCTTCCCCTCTCTGACCTGCATAGATGTCTTCCCCACTCTGACCTCTGTAGATGTCTTACCTTACTTGGATCTCAGTAGTTGTCTTCCCCACTCAGATATGTGTAGATGTCTTACCTTACTTGGACCTCTGTAGTTGTCTTCCCCACTCAGATATGTGTAGATGTCTTACCTTACTTGGATCTCTGTAGATGTCTTCCCCACTCTGACTAGTGTAGATGTCTTACCCTACTTGGATCTCTATAGTTGTCTTTCCCACTCAGATATGTGTAGGTGAAGCCTGTAACTCTGACCTTCGTAGGTATAAAAACATCTAATTCCGACTTCTGTAAGTGTCTTACCCCATTTGGATCTCTAGGTTTTTCTCCTCAGTCATGCCTGAGTATGTGTTTCCCTGACTAAAACCACTGTAGGTGTAACCCCTAGCTTAGATCTGTGTAGGTGTTACCCCTCACTCAAACTTTTGTAAGTGTCTCCTTCACTAAAACCGCTAAAGGTGTAACACCTCACTTCAACCTAGCTCAGTGTTACTTGCCTTTCACCTCAGATCACTGTAGGTGTAACTCCTAACTTAGATCTGTGTAGGTGTTACCCTTCACTCAAACCTGTGTATGTGTCTCCCCGACTCAGATCACTGTAGGTGTAACCCCTAGCTTAGATCTGTGTAGGTGTTACCCTTCACTCAAACCTGTGTATGTGTCTCCCCGACTCAGAACACTGTAGATGTAGCCCCTAACTTAGATCTGTGTAGGTGTTCCCCTCACTCAGGCCTGTGTAGGTGTAACCCCTCACTTAAACCTAAGTAGTATCACTCACCACTCAAAATGTCTGAGATGAGTGTCCTAATGATTCAGTGACCAGGAGGCTTTAGACATTTCAGCCCAATGGCAAAATGGTGCACCTTTAAGAAACATAGATTAAGATGTACCTTCTGTTTCAGACACAACTCAAGAAAAAATATTAAAAATTGATTTGTAATTGATTTCTAGGCATGAGTCAGGCCCTGATTCCCCTATTTGAAGAGATGGGTGTAGAGGCTGTCAGTGTTGGCGTCAACACAGTTACCTCCCCTCCTGCTGTTCCACCTATTTTCCGTTGGACCTTTAAAAACTCAAGTGTCATTGGCTTGTGGCACCCAGGTAGGTTTAAAAGAGATACAGAATATATTCTTTTAATTGGATTAATGTATGCATGTTGATGTGCTTTATCTCTCATCTTCATCTTATAAATATTAGCATATAAACATATGTATAATAGGAGCCAAAATAGGAAAGTTTCAAATAATAGAATTTTTCCTCCTTTCATGGAATTTATTTTGTTTTATTGAGAAACCTGTATATGCTCTCATTTTTTTTAAAAAAAATTTACTGGAAATTTGTATTGTGATGGTAGGGGGATATCCTGAGGTTCCAGGTCCATTTCCTTTTTCGCCTGGAGGACTGTCTCGACATGATTGTGCTACATTCCCAGACTTTGACCATGCCTTGTGTTTCGGATTCAGAACAGATAACAGTGGACCACCCATGGACATAACTGTAAGATCCACACCAGAGTGGTGCACAAATTAATGTGTATAATATAAATCGTGCAATATATACTTAAAGGGTTTAAATAAACTTCTGGTTACCAATAAAATAGAGCCATGTTAAAGTTGACTGTAAAATGTAAAAGTTTATTTCACACACAATGTTATATGATAATTTTTGGTCTTGTAAAGATCTGCTTTGAGCAATAGCCAAATCTGGTATTTTTGTCTTCAGGAAGTTTTAAGATTCTATGAGATTGCAAGATCACAGTTTCCAGGAGCCGATGTACAAGCATCTACATTTGAAGATTTTGTTGCTAGCTTGGAACCAATCAAATCTAAACTTCCAGTGGTTACTAAGGAACTGGGGGACACCTGGATACAGGGATCAGCTTCTGATCCACGAAAAGTCGCTGAGATGAGAGCCTTAATGAGAGTGAGGGCTTCATGTCTAGAAAACAGAGGTAAGATCTACCCTTTAATCTTTAAAAAAATATTTTCAGGTCAGTTACATGTATATGGAATTTTTTCATATTTCAGTACAGTATCTATACATAATGACATCTTAAATCAATAACTTAGGCCTTTAAGTGCTTTTCACTTGAACTTTTCATTTCTGTGAATCTGGTGTGAATCTTAACCAAGGAAGCTTGTTTGAGATTGCACATCTGCTTCCTTAATATTCTTGTTGATTATCATAATTGACAACAGGGCCATGTTTTCTGTATGTATAATATTTGCAGTTGCTTAACATTACACAAGAGTTATCTCAACTGCATAGCTGTAAAGTACAGCGTAGAAGTGGGAACCATTTATGTGTAATAGATAATGTTTTTAGGTTGTTAAAGTTCACAACAATTCTAGTGGCTTAAGATTTACGACTAGGAACAAAATCTCCTAGCATAACATCTTTCTGTTTCAGCTTGTTCTCTCACTGATGACCGATTCTATAACTCCAGTCGTTTCCTCCTCAAGCTTGGAGAACACACCTGGGGACTTGATAGTGTGTTTGACCGCATTCATTGGACAAATGACGAGTTCTATAAAATGCTGGATAATGGAAGTAAGTCACAGGTGTTATCTCCCTTGAGTGGTCCATGCTTTACAGAATAAGCATTGCAAAGTCAGCAAGTTTATTTGTCTAATTCAAAGCTTTTAAAAAGCCACTCAGTATAGTAGATTCTTTCTAAACAGGCTCACTCTCATCCGGAATCCTATTTTGCCCTTTAAATTATTATTGTCCATACTAAATTTTGTGTGGATCATTACCTTAAAGTGTAAGAGGTGTAAACATGAAACTTCATAGCTAGATAGATCTCTACAAGGAGAAGTGCAGTGCACCAGAACCATCACTCTTTTTTGCATAATTAAGGAGTTATTGTCCTTTGTTATTTTTCATACTTAAATTTTGTACGGAGAATTACACTAAAACTATAAGAGGTATCAACTTGAAGCTTCATAGGTAGATAAATCTGAACAAGACGGAGGGCATTGAACAAGAACCATAACTCTCTTATTGTCCATTGCTATTTTTTAAACTTAATTTTTGTCCCATTCAGGGAGTATAACCCGTCTTTGACGGCCCTTTTATCAAAGCTGTTGTTTCATGTTTGCATTGGTTAAATTTTTTGTGAAACTGCTTTGTTCTCATTCATGAATGTGCTTGATGGTCCATACTAAAGTTACATAACCAAATGTTGGCAGTTTACCTAACTTGTGTGAGTTTAATTGTTTATTAGCCCAGAACTTTGTGAATGGAGTGCTGTCTTGGCAGGAACAGAGAGCATTCTCCTACATCGGTGTTGATGCCTTAGGGGACCATCCCATTGCCAAAAACATGCAAGCTGAGCTTGCACAGATCCCTGCTACTAAACCAAGCATTAATGGTGAGTTATTAGCTTTACATCAACTACAAAAGAAATATTCAGCAATTCAAAATTTGATGGTGAAGGATTATGTGGTGAGAGTGATAGAAGTTTTCCACCAAACAGCATCATACAAATCAATATTGATTACAGGTACATGTGTACCTCTTCTACCAAGTTTATAAAATAAGATCTGTTTCAAAATCTATCAGATATTATCAAACTTCTCCGATATTGTAGACTATGATGTGGTCGCCTCTATGCTAGACCTTCATAGTTGTCCTAATGGATTCCAGTTCCAGTTTGATAAAGAGGGAGCTATGACTCGACTCTATTTACCAGGAAGTTATGAAGAAGTAAGTATGGTGTAGCAATATTTTTATTACCTGTAACAATTTTGACATGGTTTTATACATTATTCACAGTAAGTATTCCAAAATTCTTAACAAATAACAAATCTATTACTTTCAATCAGTTTTCCTCTATCATGTGCTGATAACAGGTTCATATATATATATACCAAGAGTTATGCTGATGACCAACCAAAAATATCTCCAAAGAAAGTGATATCAAATGATTGTTTCACCAATTTAGATTCTGTATCATCTACTTAGATGCTGTTTAAGTTAATGTATGCATAGCTATCCAATTTATGTGATAAATAGAATCTAATACTCTTTTCCACTTCACATGCAGTTTACTAAACTTGTCACAATGTTTGTTTTATTTTACATATAACTTCCTGAGACTCTGTAAAACAAACATTTTTTAGACTTGTTTTATCAATCTCATATGTAAGATCATCTTGCTTCATATTTAGCAAAGTTACTATTTGTTCGATATTTAAGATCTGACTTCAAAATAATTATGAAAGTAATAATTCCGCAATCATATAATGCTACATAACTATTTTTTTGTTTTTTCAAGCTTTATTCTGGGTTTATCTCCATTTGATGTCAATGTTTAATAACCTTTACAAAATCATAATTTTTATTTTATTTCTCATTGTTTTTTTTCACTAGTCCTGGGCTTCTACTTCCCATCCCTTGGGCAAGTTTATCTACCAGACTCTGAACCAGTCAGACTTTGACTACTTCAACCAGAATTACCCTTATAACAAGAAATTTGACCTTGGTATTGGAAAATTCAACATTTCCGAGAATGCCAATCCTTCAAGTCAGCAGTGGGAAGTTAGCCTTAAGCAATTATATAAATCCAAAAGTAAGCGGAAATTTTATTTTTCAACTCAAGAATATTTTTTCACTGAAGCAAATTATTTTTAAAGGAATTCTCTTGAGCGTAATTTTGTGACATCACACTAGAAAGTTCTACACCTTACTCAGATCAACTAGTCTTAAGTCAAGTTCAAATGTGAAATTTTCACTCATAACCTTTAGTGAATAAAAAGTTTGTGTGCTAGATTCTCTCGACACATTAACTTCATATTCTTACCATGTAGTATCACACCATCAAGTTCTACACCTGATTATATTTCAATGATCATTGATGATGCTTCAAGGTCAAAGGTCACACTTCACTACTTTTGGAAATAAAAGTTTTTTCAAAGACATATCATTAATCTTTCAACAGATTTAGTTCATATTCATGTCAAAGCATCACACAAGTCACATTTGTTGTAGTCTTACTGTACCTGAGTCACACATATCTGAGAAGGTAACTATCATTCTGAATCTACCACAGGTAACCTTTGTGAGTACATGCTATGCCTAGAGATGAAAGATACAGTTACCCTACAGCAGTATGGAGCACCAGCTATTATATTCATTAAATATGATGCAACAGTCTCCAGGACTAACATTCCAGGTGAGCAGACTATAATTAAGCATTGTGATAGTTTGAAATTTTATTATTGGTTTATTTGTCAACATTTGTACATAAAGGTATTAATGTATTGCAGTGGATATTAACTAAAAAATCCTTGTCTTTCAGTCTATTGTGTAAATCAGATGTTCTTTAATGGTTCAGTTCTTTTGTTCTTAAGATTTGGAAGTTAATAGATTACATAAGACAAAAATATCAATTAAAAAAAAAATCATGACAGTAATATCAAGAGCATCACAGAGGCTTGCAGAGTTGCTACCATTTTAGCTCACCAGCCCTAAAGGTGCAGGGTCATGATATTTGGACTCTGGCATGTTTATATGAATGACCTTGGCCTACTTTCAAGGTTACATGAATATAAACATTAGAGTCTTCTAAAGACACCTCAACAATCTAGAGGTTCCTGATCATGCTATTACGGCTATAGCATGCTAGGAAGAAGTGCTACAAAGCCTGTTCAAATCAACTCGACCTACTCATAAGATCACTGGGACACAGGTGTTTTAAATCCTAAACTAATTCTTCTCACTAACTAAAATGGTCAGGATATTCCACCAGTAGTATGCTGGGATGATTGGCTATCACATTTTTCCAAATAATTGACCTTGACCCAATTTGAAGATCATAGAGATTAGATATATGAGATTTTTTAGACTATTTCCTTTCAGTAAAAACCAATATGCTCAGAGTCATGGTATTTGTACCATACCATGTCTATCTAAAGGGACTTAAAGCTTCCAGTAATTGACTCAGCTGACAAAGTTTTCAGAACAGATTAGCAATACAGGCCCATTGGGCTATTTGTTTATATCTTAATAAGTCTGTATAATTTTTTTTAATGAATCTTTGTTGATATTGAGAAATTATCAAAAAAGTTATCATTATAACAGTCTTTCATGTGTCTGATAATTCCCGAGCCTGATAATATAGTGTTTAAGTATAGTAAGAGGAAATAACCTTGAAGTATATTTGAACTCCAAAATCTACATTTGTTTGCCTTTATAGCTGTTAGTGTAGAACTGCAGTGGTTCCAGAAGCCTCCAACAAGAATGCCTGAAGCTTATTATCTGTCATTTGAGCCACCACCGAAACAGAATCACCATTGGAGGTTACATAAGCTGGGACAGATGATCGACCCGCTCAACGTAATACAGAATGGCAGCCAGAGACTTCACGGTAGGTTATCAGCCAGCTCATGCTTTTCTAAATGTTTGACCTTTTATAAGATAGCACAATTAAACCTAGCTATCCTGAACATGTGTCGTTAAAATACATTTATACGACCATCAATTTGAAGTGAAAGTACAGTCACTAAAGTAAAGCTTGTGAAACTGCCATCAGTTGTCACTTAAACCTTGTTATTCTACCATTAGCTGTAAGTAAAACATAGTTGTAAGACACTGCCGTCAGTTGCCACTTAACATTGTTATACTGCCATCAGTTGCCACTTAACATTGTTACACTGCCATCAGTTGCCACTAGACATTGTTATACTGCCATCAGTTGCCACTAAACATTGTTACAATGCCATCAGTTGCCACTAAACATTGTTATACTGCCATCAGTTGCCACTAAACATTGTTATACTGCCATCAGTTGTCAGTATAACATTGTTACACTGCCATCAGTTGCCACTAAACATTGGTATACTGCCATCAGTTGCCACTAAACATTGTTACAATGCCATCAGTTGCCACTAAACATTGTTATACTGCCATCAGTTGCCACTAAACATTGTTATACTGCCATCTGTTGTCAGTATAACATTGTGTTACTGCCATCAGTTGCCACTAAACATTGTGACACTGCCATCAGTTGCCACTAAACATTGTTACACTGTCATCAGTTGCCACTAAACATTGTTACACTGCCATCAGTTGCCACTAAACATTGTTACAATGCCATCAGTTGCCACTAAATATTGTTATACTGCCATCAGTTGCCACTAAACATTGTTACACTGCCATCAGTTGCCACTAAACATTGTTATACTGCCAGCTGTTGTCAGTATAACATTGTGTTACTGCCATCAGTTGCCACTAAACATTGTTACACTGCCATCAGTTGCCACTAAACATTGTTATACTGCCATCAGTTGCCACTAAACATTGTTACACTGCCATCAGTTGTCAGTATAACATTGTTACACTGCCATCAGTTGCCACTAAACATTGTTATACTGCCATCTGTTGTCAGTATAACATTGTGTTACTGCCATCATTTGTCAGTATAACATTGTGTTACTGCCATCAGTTGTCAGTATAACATTGTGTTACTGCCATCAGTTGCCACTAAACATTGTTACACTGCCATCAGTTGTCAGTATAACATTGTGTTACTGCCATCAGTTGTCAGTATAACATTGTGTTACTGCCATCAGTTGCCACTAAACATTGTTACACTGCCATCTGTTGTCAGTATAACATTGTGTTACTGCCATCATTTGTCAGTATATGATTATAGTGTATTTACTCAAGTAAACATAGTGGTAATAGATCTGTATGATACAATGTAATGTTTATCCTGATTTTCCATACCTTAATTATATCTTATCTTGGTGATAATACAGACGTTATTGATACTCATGCTAATTCAGACTACAGGAAAGAGTCAAATGGCTTTACACCTGTAAGCTTCTATGTCATGATGTCATAAAGTATTTTTGCATCATCTCACTTTACCTGTTAAATGTGTTTATACTATACCTGTATATCTTAAAATACAAACAACAATTCATTGATATCTTTTTTTAAATGGTTTCATTAAACAGTTTGTACATGTTACACTTCAGTGGTCAATAAAGGGGTGTACTACCTTGACGATCGATCCTGTGGTATGGAGATCCTGTCGCGCGACGTCGGGCTGGTGAATGTGTTGACGTCAGAGGATTACGTCAGTACGCTGCCACTACCGCTGTCACCTATCACTGATGTCACAGGAATGGCGTTCAATCTCTACAACAATATATGGGATGTCAACTACATCTTTTGGTATCCTTATCAAATGTCCGACACTGACTCCAAGTTTAGATTTACTCTGAACTTCCATCAATGATGATATATACTAGTACAAAAGACTGAGTGAAAATGCTGTGAAATGTTGCATTCTTTTGGATACGGGTGAAGTTTGATAGATTTATCCTTGGATGTTATAGTTAAAGTAACTGAATAACAAGTGGCAATGTTGTTCTGTAAGTGAAATCCATCGCTGGATATAATCTTGATAAAGTTTGATAATTTGATCTGAATCAAAACAACCAAAGAATGAGCAAGAGTATTTTGGTGAGATATACCATTAAAATCTTGTTATCTCAAACTCTTTTAACTCAAAGACTCTATAATTCGAAGTATTTTGTTAGTCTTGACCAAATTTCGCACAAAACATTTTAATTTATTTAAATCAAATATTCGTTCCGCAGTCTCGCTGAGTTTGAGATAAAGAGGTTTGACTGTAATAATGTTTAGATTGGCCATTAAATGTTTAGAAACCACAATCTTAATTAAGTGTGATAGACTGAAATTGTTTATGAATTGTTCAAAACAAAAAAAAAAAACCCAGTTTTTTTAATATCACTGCCTATAACTGGTATAGAAAACACCATTCACAACCCATTGTGTTTGTTCTGTATTAGAATAACACTGTGAAACATGTATATACTGTCATGGTGTGGGTGGAGTGAACTCAAGACTTATACGTTAGATCATTAATTATAATTTTATATCCATTGTCATGTGTAATACATTCAGCATAACTTACTGATTATTGATACTTAAATGGATATATATTCATGATGTACAGTAACATATGTGTGTGTTTGAAAAAGTGCTTGTTGTTTACAAGGTATCAAGATAGACTATGAAAATGTCTCAAACAGATCAATTTATTGTTTATATTACAGCTAGGTATAAAGAAAAGAACATTAATGTGATATTTGGTGGAAGATCAAATTAACACATTTTATGATTAATCAGAAATCAAATAATATTTAAATATTTGAGATTTTTGAAACATCAACAATGTTAAGCAAGCTTATCTCTTTTCTATCAAAAGATACTCTCTACTGTTTATAAGAAATTATAAAAAGAAAAAGTACACAAGATAAATGTACACATTGTAGAAATTGTGATTACAAGTTACACATTCTGTATTATGAGTATGTTTTGTGACGTGTGAAGTTTTTGTTCCACAATTTCTCTATCATATCAACTCAAAAGGTCTGGTTTTTCTTCATGACATTTCTGATCAATGTTTTTTTTTTTTTTTTAACTTTTAACTTTTAACTTTTGACTTCTCCTCAATTGATCTGAACTTTTTCCTTTTTTTTTTAAACAACAGAATCTACATCTCTTTACTACTTACATTTGATATTTGTTTTGACTTTTTTATGTTTATCCTTAATCAATTAGTGAAGTGTAACTATCATTTACATAATATTTATAAGTGATTTTGTTATTTTGATGTCATATTGAAGTTTTTTTAGTAATCATACCCCTAAATGAGTCGATTGTGTATACAGTTATGACTTTGTCAGTGCATCCATGTATACAAAGATCGTGACTACAAGATATTCCATGCACCTTGATAAGTTTTATTAGTTTACATACTCGCACCACAGCATCACACCATGAAACTTTACATATTATTAGATTTGCCATCTGTCAAGGTCGAAGTAACAGGTCAACCTTGAAAATTTTCAAAAGAAAAAGCTGGTGTACAAGATATATCCTAAACAGTTGAAAATGATAATATAAAGGTAATTTGGAGAGGGTGTTAATATATGTACAGAGTTGAGCTTTATTGTAAAATGATTTTAAAATAAGAAACAAGAAACAGGTAGAGCCAACACTGGGTAAGCTAGAAATGGTGGATAATGGGTTCCTTTGTCTCTCTGTCTGGATACCCGAAAGTATGCAGGGTGATTGAAGGTGTATTGATGATTTTAAAATGTTTCAAGAATTGTTCTATATTCTTGGTAATTATAGTCTACTTGGCTTACATTCATGTATATATGAAGGTAAATTCATACCTTTGCATTTATTTAACTACAAGAAATTTTGTAAATCCTTATATCATTACAAAATGGATTCAACATTCCCCGAAGATATTTTTTCTGTAAGAATTAATCACGGTATTGATATATTGCTGATTGCTAAAGTACCACACATTTTCTCATATTATCTAATAGAATTGTTACAGATTTTAAAAAGTTGAATATTCACTGCATATTAAAAACATAATAAAGACTGGCTGAAATATGTTATTTTTTAAATTCAATAGCAGCTGCCGAATGTTTTAAGAGGAATTGTTGGTGATTATGGTTTATATGAACAATTCTATGTGACGGAGACATAACGGTAAGAGAAGTTACCATCCAGCAATATTGTACTCTTGAAGAGCTTGGCAAGGGCTCCAAAATACAGCAGTGAGGACTAAAGAATAAAACATTTGCACATAATTAATGGATACCATATATATCTTGTCTTTAGGTATAATTGATCACAGTACACTTCTACATGGCTGACTCCTTCTCTTTTAAATTTCAGTAGAAAGTCCATGTTTCAAACTCCAACCTCATTTGCTGTCAACAGAGAATTTTAAGAACGATTTCCATATTTTTTTAAACTGTCCTGTTCTGTTTCTGCTTTGAGAAATCTTGGTCATTATTCTAGGTCACAGTGGATCACTCATATTGAAATATTTGTAAAACAAACCTGTATGTCAAATAAACAAAGTTGAATAATGCAATCACAAGGTTTTACTTTTAAGTTACAAACAGCATCATTTCAGGAAATAACATTTAATGTCAAAGACTTTAAAACATCTTTATCTCTTCTGACATAAGGCGCCAGTGAGCTTATGGTATGATAAAGAATTTGTGATCAGTGTCCATGTTCACCACAACATACAGTGATAAAGAATTTGTCATCAGTCCGTCGGTCAGTGTCCATGTTCACCACAACATACAGTGATAAAGAATTTGTCATCAGTCCGTCGGTCAGTGTCCATGTTCACCACAACATACAGTGATAAAGAATTTGTCATCAGTGTCCATGTTCACCACAACATACAATGATAAAGAATTTGTCATCAGTCCGTCCATGTTCACCACAACATACAGTGATAAAGAATTTGTCATCAGTCCGTCTGTCAGTGTCCATGTTCAACACAACATACAATGATAAAGAATTTGTCATCAGTCCGTCGGTCAGTGTCCATGTTCACCACAACATACAGTGATAAAGAATTTGTCATCAGTGTCCATGTTCACCACAACATACAGTGATAAAGAATTTGTCATCAGTCCGTCGGTCAGTGTCCATGTTCACCACAACATACAATGATAAAGAATTTGTCATCAGTCCGTCCATGTTCACCACAACATACAGGATAAAGAATTTGTCATCAGTCCGTCATGTTCCATGTTCACCACAACATACAGTGATAAAGAATTTGTTGTCAGTGTCCATGTTCACCACAACATACAGTGATAAAGAATTTGTTGTCAGTGTCCATGTTCACCACAACATACAATGATAAAGAATTTGTCATCAGTCCGTCTGTCAGTGTCCATGTTCACCACAACATACAATGATAAAGAATTTGTCATCAGTCCGTCTGTCAGTGTCCATGTTCACCACAACATACAATGATAAAGAATTTGTCATCAGTGTCCATGTTCACCACAACATACAGTGATAAAGAATTTGTGATCAGTCCGTCGGTCAGTGTCCATGTTCACCACAACATACAATGATAAAGAATTTGTCATCAGTGTCCATGTTCACCACAACATACAGTGATAAAGAATTTGTCAAGTGTCCATGTTCACCACAACATTTTGTCAGTGTCCATGTTCACCACAACATACAGTGATAAAGAATTTGTCATCAGTGTCCATGTTCACCACAACATACAGTGATAAAGAATTTGTCATCAGTGTCCATGTTCACCACAACATACAGTGATAAAGAATTTGTCATCAGTGTCCATGTTCACCACAACATACAATGATAAAGAATTTGTCATCAGTCCGTCTGTCAGTGTCCATGTTCACCACAACATACAATGATAAAGAATTTGTCATCAGTCCGTCATCAGTCAGTGTCCATGTTCACCACAACATACAATGATAAAGAATTTGTCATCAGTCCGTCTGTCAGTGTCCATGTTCACCACAACATACAATGATAAAGAATTTGTCATCAGTCCGTCCAGTTCACCACAACATACAATGATAAAGAATTTGTCATCAGTCACCACAACATACAATGATAAAGAATTTGTCATCAGTGTCCATGTTCACCACAACATACAATGATAAAGAATTTGTCATCAGTCCGTCGGTCAGAGTCCATGTTCAACACAACATACAATGATAAAGAATTTGTCATCAGTCCGTCGGTCAGTGTCCATGTTCACCACAACATACAGTGATAAAGAATTTGTCATCAGTCCGTGTTCACCACAACATACAGAATTTGTCATCAGTCCATGTTCACCACAACATACAATGATAAAGAATTTGTCATCAGTCCGTCTGTCAGTGTCCATGTTCACCACAACATACAATGATAAAGAATTTGTCATCAGTGTCCATGTTCACCACAACATACAGTGATAAAGAATTTGTCATCAGTCCGTTCACCACAACATACAATGATAAAGAATTTGTCACCACAGATAAAGAATTTGTCATCAGTCCGTCTGTCAGTGTCCATGTTCACCACAACATACAATGATAAAGAATTTGTCATCAGTCCGTCGGTCAGTGTCCATGTTCACCACAACATACAATGATAAAGAATTTGTCATCAGTCCGTCGGTCAGTGTCCATGTTCACCACAACATACAATGATAAAGAATTTGTCATCAGTCCGTCTGTCAGTGTCCATGTTCACCACAACATACAATGATAAAGAATTTGTCATCAGTCCGTCCATGTTCACCACAACATACAATGATAAAGAATTTGTCAGTGTCCATGTTCACCACAACATACAATGATAAAGAATTTGTCATCAGTCCGTCTGTCAGTGTCCATGTTCACCACAACATACAGTGATAAAGAATTTGTCATCAGTGTCCATGTTCACCACAACATACAGTGATAAAGAATTTGTCCATGTTCACCACAACATACAATGATAAAGAATTTGTCATCAGTGTCCATGTTCACCACAACATACAGTGATAAAGAATTTGTCATCAGTCCGTCTGTCAGTGTCCATGTTCACCACAACATACAATGATAAAGAATTTGTCATCAGTCCGTCTGTCAGTGTCCATGTTCACCACAACATACAATGATAAAGAATTTGTCATCAGTCCGTCTGTCAGTGATCAGTCCGTCCAGTGTCCATGTTCACCACAACATACAATGATAAAGAATTTGTCATCAGTCCGTCTGTCAGTGTCCATGTTCACCACAACATACAATGATAAAGAATTTGTCATCAGTCCGTCTGTCAGTGTCCATGTTCACCACAACATACAGTGATAAAGAATTTGTCATCAGTCCGTCTGTCAGTGTCCATGTTCACCACAACATACAGTGATAAAGAATTTGTCATCAGTCCGTCTGTCAGTGTCCATGTTCACCACAACATACAGTGATAAAGAATTTGTCATCAGTCCGTCTGTCAGTGTCCATGTTCACCACAACATACAATGATAAAGAATTTGTCATCAGTCATGTGTCACCATAACATATTTTTGTCACAACATACAGTGATAAAGAATTTGTCATCACTGTTGGTTTCACCACAACATACAATGATAAAGAATTTGTCATCAGCCCCATGTTCACCACAACATACAATGATAAAGAATTTGTCAGTAACTCTGTCAGGAGTCCATGTTCACATGTCATACAGAATAAAGAATTTGTAGAGTGTCTTGATTGACCACAACATACAATGATAAAGAATTTGTCATCAGTCCGTCTGTCAGTGTCCATGTTCACCACAACATACAGTGATAAAGAATTTGTCAGTCTGTTCACCACAACATACAATCAGTGTCCATGTTCACCACAACATACAAATTTTGTCATCATCAGTGTCCATGTTCACCACAACATACAGTGATAAAGAATAGAGTGTAAATCACACTTTTTACTATTGGGTAGTACCCAATAACAAAGGGTGTTGAATGTGCTGAGAATGAAATTCAATTCCAAGTCAGACTGAAGAAAGGACAACTGGCCATCTTGGGGTTTGATATTTCAGATTTGTTATTGTAATGCTTGGGAAGCACCTCAATGGTATGTTCCCATTGGTCCTTAACTCAGACTGGAGCTATTTAAATCTAATTTGTAGGTTTTCTTTGTTGACTGATTTTAACATATGATTAATTCACCTGCCAATAAAATATAAAAACAAGAGCTAAAAAGAACAAAGAAGGGTAAAGATCAAACAACTTCAGGACCAATATTGTAACTTAAGAAATTACGCTGGGCTAGCATTGATTATGACTGGCTATGACTATTCGGAGTCAGGCTTCACTGCAGGTTAATTGATCTGAATGGACAATAAAACAAAGAGACTTTTGGTTAGATGTACAACCGGGGTCAATGAATTTTCCAAACGTTATAGTCTTATTTACCGGTTTCTATGGTATGACAGTTGAATTTCTGTGGTACATGTTTTTAGGTTATCTGCCATAAAGGGTCGAGGACACTGTGTAAACTTTTCATTCAAACAAATTGTTCTCAATAATTAAAGGCCCTGGGTGCTGATATTAGGCTTGAAGTATTGTGACATGAAGGACTACCAAGTTTATTCAAATAAATGACCCTTTCAAGGTCACTAGGGTCAAACGTGTTCGTATTTATTAATAGAACTTATTCTAATTAACCAAAAGGTTCAGCCTATTGATATTGTTATATAACTAGATAAAGGGCTACCAAGTTGACTCAAATGGTCGACCTATGACAGCTGATTGACAAGTTGTAAGCCTTGTATTGAAGGAGTTAAGCAGAAATGATCATTTTCAGCTCTACTTTTCCCCGCCTATTTAAGGCTGTGTACCTGAAGACTGGTGTCATTTGATTTGTTTATGTCGAAGAGGTAGCACTCTGATGCGACTTTTACAAAATGGACAAAATTGCTAAGAGTGCATTGATTCAGTATTCGCATAAGAAAGGTTTTGCACCTAAGGAAATCCATACTGATATGGTAGCAACACAAGGGAATGAAGCCTCTTCATATTCTACAGTGAAAAGGTGGGTGGCAGAATGCAAGCATGGCAGCAGAGTCCTGGGAATGTCACCCATCCTGGCAGGCCTGTCACTGTTTCAAACCTAGAAATGACCATAAAGTCCATGAAAAGTCCTTGATATTTTTATGGTACTCACTTTCAGTCAGATGATGTCAGTGATGTCATAAATGCAATGGACTTACTGAACAGTCAAAAAAAGGACTTTGAGTGGCTTTGAGGCCCTGAAACATTCACAGGCATAGATAGTGAAGGGATAATGTTGAAAAATATATGGTATTTACGTAGTAACATGTATGGGGAACATGATTTAAAGTTTGTAGAAATTGACTTAATGAATCAACAAGGTCTTCTTTGTAGGCTGCAGAACAGGTGAGCAATTCAAGCACATTGGGTCTCGTTCATATATAAGTCAGTACAGCCCAGATTTATTTACCAGATTCGGGACCAAAATGGTAACTGGCAACATAAAGTGGCTGTTATACACACAATTGGGACCATTATTAAACAGTCATTATATAATGAGATGCTATACAATGGTAGGTATGGAAGGTTTGAACGTATTAAGAGTAAAAATGAAAAATAAACACATAAAAAAAAAACCAATTCTCCAACTGGTCCAGGCATTTATTGGTATATAACTAAAATAAAATAAAATTTTCACTGGATTAGCCTTCTGATCTTTTTATCATTTATCTAATTTTGTATGCATACAGAAGCCAAGTAATACATGTAATAAGGACGAAGAATACCTAAGCTGACGATACAATATGTGAACACTTTCTAGTCAAATTCACGCCAATAAAACTAACAGGTGTTTTCATTGATTGTTGAAGCTGAATCAACATCCAGTGAAGAGGTCTTCATATATCCTGAATGTAATAACACATTCTCTTCAATCCCTGACTATCTAGAATGAAGTACTGGTGAACACAAACAGGTTAAGATCTCCCTCAACTTAAACACGTTTTTGGTCTGTAGACGGTCTGACTATTTACTTCTGGAATTATTTCTGTATGTTAATTATTCATAACCATTGTGGAATGATATCAAGTCATGCCCTGCATCTTCTGAACAAAATTAGTGATATCCAGGGGATTTAAGTGTTAAGGGAAAATCATTGTTGTTAAAGTAGGTTGCACCTACAGAAGAATTTTGTTCTTACATACCAGGTAAATCATAACAAGCTTGATATCAAGTTGACAAATCTTTGTTAGTGTTTGATAAAAGGATAGGTCACGAACAGTAAATACTCCAAATATATAATTTCAGCTATTTGATTTAAAAGTAAATTCTAAATCTCCTTGTTTTGGTCTAAAATTGAATGTCACATGAATTGCATGTTCACCAACAGTATTCCTCGAGGTAAGCGGGTGTTTTAGAAGATGGACACCCTGTCGAGTGTAAATGTCCCATTTAATTTCCTTTCCTACATGTGGTGCTTCTCTTGGTCCAGTGCTTACAACACAATTTTTGCCGAAGTCAAAGTCTGCCCACAGCACAACTCCATTACAGTGTCCATCACTGAAGAGATACAAATCTTCCATTATACATGTAATACAATATCGATGGAGTTTGAACTTCTTAATATTTAGTTTGTAGAGGATTTTCATGCAGTCCAACTCTAATCATTTCATCTTCACTGTGTCAGATCAAATTTTAAGAAACAAACAATGAATTTTTTTTTGTATTTTGAAAACAATCAAAACATTTACTATAGGCAAAATTTTTAACAATTCAGATTTGAAATTAAGCAATGACGTAGATCGCAGAAGGATACACCTCAACGAAATCTATTTTCCGTGCAGCAAAACAAGGAAGGTAATCTTCCAATAATTGGGTTCAATGATTATGCAAGCAGTAAACAGGAAAAGTGTGCACTGTATCGGTATATGTAAAAGACGTTAACAGGCTTTCCTTTCCTCTCCAAGAGACTTGCCATACTAACCTTTGTAAGTTGAGTTCTTTTGTCAAAGTCACTGCTGTTTTGTCCCAGGAAGAAGTATATTGGAAGTTGTAAATATTTACAATATCACTTCGAGCAGTACAAGGGTATTCCCATAAGGGCTGTGGTTCTACAGTCTCATCAGCAATATCTGACGAACGCTGTAAACATGAGGATGTTAAATCTATAGAATTAACTATCATACTGATACAGTACATTTTTTTCTGCTGTAAATCAGATATTTTTTGTGCGGCTTAAATTTCATGTTTGGCTGGTACTTGATATCATTGAAAAATAGTACTATGAAATCCACTAATACTGCAATAAACACTGTTTTAACTGGTCTTCATATTTTGGGGATTAATAATACCCACAAAATCAATTAAGATTAAACCTGATGAAAATTTATGACTTACAGAATCAACACAATGAATACAGTTCATTTCTAATTAGGATTATATAATTAACTATCATTACACTATCAACATAATAGTCTATTCATACAATGTGTATTTAAGCATAAATATATTAATGTAGGTATTTGGGATGTCTTGGGTTGTGCAGGCAATGGTTGAGCAATTACAGAGTTTCTTGGATAGGCAATGTTGTGACTGAAAGATTATGAGTTCAAGAGTGAATAAAAAATTACTTAATTCTTACGTCAGTTGTTACTATGTCCAAACATGATAAATTTACAAAATTGCACCATAGATAGAAAAGTATGTTGATCTGAAGGTTCCAGATTTAAATAAGTTTTACCAGGCACCTGCTGTAATTGTAATCAACTTTGATTTCATTAACTTAGGCGACATGTTTCAGGAAGTTATGTCAGTTGGCCATGACCATTTTACTTCAGGGTATGAATGTATAGACATAACACAATGTTTTCTGTCTTACCTCTATTAAATCATCAAATACTTGAAGATTGAATCCCTCACACATTCCAACAGGGGCCCGTATCTTCCAGAGGTCTGTAAACTCAACAGCTATGGCCTTAATTGTCATTGAAGTAGGGAATATCTTTGCCTCAGTTGCCATAATGTCAGAAAGCTGATCTATCGAGTACCAATAATTAATGCTGTGCCATGGTAAAACAGAGCTCTGAAAGTATGGCTCTCCCAACACAAGGTCAATCTGAAATATCAACAATAAGTAAGATCAATATTGACCTAAAGTTCATTTAACACAATTTATTATGTGTACTGGTAGTGATAACAGCTAAGTCAGTGGCTTTGCTACCTTAAGTGGAGATCCAAGGAGTGGTTCCACAATACATACTCTGGGCAGTTCAAGAAGATTGAATCAGGTAGTGATGTTATGACTGTTACGAGCAAGACACAATACTCTAATTACTCTGATAGTATATGATGGGCCTCCCTGGTGCTGTTCAGTGAGGTAGCTACTAATTACTGCAAGTAAACCTTACCTCAAAATGACCCTGACTGTTGATGGGGCAAAAACAAATAATTACTTTAAACATACATCATTATTTAGCATTAATCCTATTTTAGTGCTTTGCACCCTAGAAGTATTCCACTTCAATATGACTGCACTTATCAAAGATTCTGTACGTTGTTCATATAGCAATTATTGTGGAAGCTTAAATCCATCTTTGCACTATTTTGGTGAAATGCGATAAGAAAGTTATGTTTCTGACTGTCCCAGAAAAATCATCTATCCCACCCCAGGATTCTAGGTTTAGTCTAATTTACCACCCATAGAATTTAATTGATAAGTTTGCTTACAAGTAACAGACAGGAAACCCAAACCATGGCTAGAAGTGATTCATAAGTCCTTGGATCAAGTAGCTGTTTCAGTGGAATAGCCCTTACTGGATTTGGACAGATTTGAACTAAAAGCCTAGGACTAAATATTAATCTGGGTTCCTTGATTACTTTAAACATGGTAATTTACACATAACTTTGTGTGACATATTAAATACATATTAAAATATATGTTAAATATGTATGTGAAGGTACAATGATCATAAGAATAGCCTTTGTGTATACATTTTTCCTATCAAAAGTGCAAAAGCCACAAGTTATATTTGAGCAAGATGTTTTTCACTTTAATAAATAAATCATAGATTAATTGTCTCCTCAGTATTGTACCTTGTGATCACCAAAGTCTGCAGACGTCAGAGCCTCAGGGTTATTAGTTATTACAGTGATAATTTCTTCTAGACCATTTGTTTTAATAAAGGACTCCATGACCTTTCTTACACTGGGGTTAGGTTCCACAGTAAAAACCTGCAACACATTAACACATTAGGGGAAAAATGAACAACAGTCTGCTGGTAGAAATAAAAAAACAACAAAAAGTAAGAAAGTAAAGTGCTTAATTAGGTCTAATTTTGTAGGTGTTTACAGTAAAACATAGCCTGCTTGATAATTAGGCCTGAATTTGAACATGTTTACAGTAGAAAGTAGACTGCCTGATAATGCCTGATTTTGTATGTGTTTTCAGTAGAAAGTAGACTGCCTGTTAAGGCCTGGTTTTGTATGTGTTTACAGTAGAAAGTAGACTGCCTAATAAGGCCTGGTTTTGCATGTGTTTTCAGTAGAAAGTAGACTGCCTAATAAGGCCTGGTTTTGTATGTGTTTACAGTGTGTTTTAGTACGTGTTTACAGTAGAAAGTAGACTGCCTAATAAGGCCTGGTTTTGTATGTGTTTACAGTAGAAAGTAGACTACCTAATAAGGCCTGGTTTAGTACGTGTTTACAGTAGAAAGTAGACTGCCTGATAATGCCTGATTTTGTATGTGTTTTCAGTAGAAAGTAGACTGCCTGTTAAGGCCTGGTTTAGTACCTGTTTACAGCCAAGTCTCGCTGCTATCAGTGCCATCATGTTACCATCACCCAAACACAAGCAAGTTGTGTCAGTAGTCACATTCTACAAAACAATATGAAAACATGTCAGCCAAGGTAATGTAGCACACAGTACAGTTCTGTATATGTCAGTGAGTGGCCATCCCAGCCATCAGTCCCAATGTACTGATCTATCTAGCTATATATCAGTGACTGGTCATCCCAGCCATCACTCGAAATGTACTGATCTATCTAGCTATATATCAGTGACTGGTCATCCCAGCCATCACTCCCAATGTACTGATCTATCTAGCTATATATCAGTGACTTGTCATCCCAGCCATCACTCCCAATGTACTGATCTATCTAGCTATATATCAGTGACTGGTCATTCCAGTCATCACTCCCAATGTACTGATCTATCTAGCTATATATCAGTGACTGGTCATCCAAGCCATCACTCCCCATATACTGATCTATATAGCTATATGTCAGTGACTGGTCATCCCAGCCATCACTCCCCATATACTGATCTATCTAGCTATATGTCAGTGACTGGTCATCCCAGCCATCACTCCCCATATACTGATCTATCTAGCTATATGTCAGTGACTGGTCATCCCAGCCATCACTCCCCATATACTGATCAATCTAGCTATATGTCAGTGACTGGTCATCCCAGCCATCACTCCCCATATACTGATCTATCTAGCTATATGTCAGTGACTGGTCATCCCAGCCATCACTCCCCATATACTGATCTATCTAGCTATATGTCAGTGACTGGTCATCCCAGCCATCACTCCCCATATACTGATCTATCTAGCTATATGTCAGTGACTGGTCATCCCAGCCATCACTCCCAATGTACTGATCTATCTAGCTATATATCAGTGACTGGTCATCCCAGCCATCATTCCCAATGTACTGATCTATCTAGCTATATATCAGTGACTGGTCATCCCAGCCATCATTCCCAATGTACTGATCTATCTAGCTATATATCAGTGACTGGTCATCCCAGCCATCATTCCCAATGTACTGATCTATCTAGCTATATATCAGTGACTGGTCATCCCAGCCATCATTCCCAATGTACTGATCTATCTAGCTGTATATCAGTGACTGGTCATCCCAGCCATCATTCCCAATGTACTGATCTATCTAGCTGTATGTCAGTGACTGGTCATCCCAGCCATCATTCCCAATGTACTGATCTATCTAGCTATATGTCAGTGACTGGTCATCCCAGCCATCATTCCCAATGTACTGATCTATCTAGCTATATGTCAGTGACTGGTCATCCCAGCCATCATTCCCAATGTACTGATCTATCACCATCACTCCCCCATATACTGATCTATCTAGCTATATGTCAGTGACTGGTAGTGACATATAGCTAGATAGATCAGTATATGGGGAGTGATGGATGGGATGACCAGTCACTGACTCAGTGGCTGGTCATCCCAGCCATCATTCCCAATGTACTGATCTATCTAGCTATATGTCAGTGACTGGTCATCCCAGTCATCACTCCCCATATACTGATCTATCTAGCTGTATATCAGTGACTGGTCATCCCAGCCATCATTCCCAATGTACTGATCTATCTAGCTATATGTCAGTGACTGGTCATCCCAGCCATCACTCCCCATATACTGATCTATCTAGCTATATGTCAGTGACTGGTCATCCCAGCCATCATTCCCAATGTACTGATCTATCTAGCTATATGTCAGTGACTGGTCATCCCAGTCATCACTCCCCATATACTGATCTATCTAGCTGTATATCAGTGACTGGTCATCCCAGCCATCATTCCCAATGTACTGATCTATCTAGCTATATGTCAGTGACTGGTCATCTCAGCCATCATTCCCAATGTACTGATCTATCTAGCTGTATATCAGTGACTGGTCATCCCAGCCATCACTCCCCATATACTGATCTATCTAGCTATATGTCAGTGACTGGTCATCCCAGCCATCATTCCCAATGTACTGATCTATCTAGCTGTATATCAGTGACTGGTCATCCCAGCCATCACTCCCCATATACTGATCTATCTAGCTATATGTCAGTGACTGGTCATCCCAGTCATCACTCCCCATATACTGATCTATCTAGCTATATATCAGTGACTGGTCATCCTAGTCATCACTTCCAATGTACTGATCTATCTAGCTGTATATCAGTGACTGGTCATCCCAGCCATCATTCCCAATGTACTGATCTATCTAGCTATATGTCAGTGACTGGTCATCCCAGTCATCACTCCCATATACTGATCTATCTAGCTGTATGTCAGTGACTGGTCATCCCAGCCATCATTCCCAATGTACTGATCTATCTAGCTATATGTCAGTGACTGGTCATCTCAGCCATCATTCCCAATGTACTGATCTATCTAGCTATATATCAATGACTGGTCATCCCAGCCATCATTCCCATTGTACTGATCTATCTAGCTATATATATCAGTGACTGGTCATCCCAGCCATCATTCCCAATGTACTGATCTATCTAGCTATATATCAGTGACTTGTCATCCCAGCCATCACTCCCCATATACTGATCTATCTAGCTATATATCAGTGACTGGTCATCCCAGCCATCACTCCCAATGTACTGATCTATCTAGCTATATATCAGTGACTTGTCATCCCAGCCATCATTCCCAATGTACTGATCTATCTAGCTATATGTCAGTGACTGGTCATCCCAGTCATCACTCCCCATATACTGATCTATCTAGCTGTATATCAGTGACTGGTCATCCCAGCCATCATTCCCAATGTACTGATCTATCTAGCTATATATCAGTGACTGGTCATCCCAGCCATCATTCCCAATGTACTGATCTATCTAGCTGTATATCAGTGACTGGTCATCCCAGCCATCACTCCCCATATACTGATCTATCTAGCTATATATCAGTGACTGGTCATCCCAGTCATCATTCCCAATGTACTGATCTATCTAGCTATATATCAGTGACTGGTCATCCCAGCCATCATTCCCAATGTACTGATCTATCTAGCTATATATCAGTGACTGGTCATCCCAGCCATCATTCCCAATGTACTGATCTATCTAGCTATATGTCAGTGACTGGTCATCCCAGCCATCATTCCCAATGTACTGATCTATCTAGCTATATGTCAGTGACTGGTCATCCCAGCCATCATTCCGAATGTACTGATCTATCTAGCTATATATCAGTGACTGTCATCCCAGCCATCATTCCCAATGTACTGATCTATCTAGCTATATATCAGTGACTGGTCATCCCATATACTGATCTATCTAGCTCATTCCCAATGTACTGATCTATCTAGCTATATATCAGTGACTGGTCATCCCAGCCATCACTCCCCATATACTGATCTATCTAGCTATATGTCAGTGACTGGTCATCCCAGCCATCACTCCCAATGTACTGATCTATCTAGCTTTATATCAGTGACTGGTCATCCCAGCCATCACTCCCAATGTACTGATCTATCTAGCTATATATCAGTGACTTGTCATCCCAGCCATCATTCCCAATGTACTGATCTATCTAGCTATATATCAGTGACTTGTCATGCCATCATTCCCAATGTACTGATCTATCTAGCTATATATCAGTGACTGGTCATCCCAGCCATCATTCCCAATGTACTGATCTATCTAGCTATATATCAGTGACTTGTCATCCCAGCCATCACTCCCCATATACTGATCTATCTAGCTATATATCAGTGACTGGTCATCCCAGCCATCATTCCCAATGTACTGATCTATCTAGCTATATATCAGTGACTGGTCATTCAAGCTATCACTTTCCCTGTTTTGTAGTTTCAGTAGAAATGCTATTAGCTTGTAAGACATAAGGTCTCTCTGCCTTCCAGCAGGATAAACACTGTGGATTGTGATGTCCATGTAAAATTATCTGTCTACCAAAATAAATTAGCTAACAGTAAATGTGTATACAAAAAGTATACTTAGTATTTAATCATTTGGTAGTGATTTAAATATAATATAAAAAGCCACAGTAGTACCTGTAGTTTTACCTTTAGAGATAAAAGGATACAAGGTATGCCATTGCAGTAGTACCTGTAGTTTTACCTTTAGAGATAAAAGGATACAAGGTATGCCACCGCAGTAGTACCTGTAGTTTTACCTTTAGAGATAAAAGGATACAAGGTATGCCACCGCAGTAGTACCTGTAGTTTTACCTTTAGAGATAAAAGGATACAAGGTATGCCACCGCAGTAGTACCTGTAGTTTTACCTTTAGAGATAAAAGGATACAAGGTATGCCACTGCAGTAGTACCTGTAGTTTTACCTTTAGAGATAAAAGGATACAAGGTATGCCACCGCAGTAGTACCTGTAGTTTTACCTTTAGAGATAAAAGGATACAAGGTATGCCACTGCAGTAGTACCTGTAGTTTTACCTTTAGAGATAAAAGGATACAAGGTATGCCACCGCAGTAGTACCTGTAGTTTTACCTTTAGAGATAAAAGGATACAAGGTATGCCACTGCAGTAGTACCTGTAGTTTTACCTTTAGAGATAAAAGGATACGAGGTATGCCACCGCAGTAGTACCTGTAGTTTCACCTTTAGAGAAAAAAGGTACAAGAAATGCCAATGCAGTTGTTTCATATTTAAATTTAAACACCTACCTTTTTTAAGATCTCTTTGTAAATTTTTCTCCTCACTGGATCATTCATCATTCCGATTCTGCCCCTGCTGAAACAAATGTTAGCCCCAAAGCTGCATATAGGTCCTCCCTCCTTGTGGAAATCTTCTTTTTCACTGTAACAACAAAATGTCATTGTGTATGTCATTCAAACCACTTACCTGAGCAATCACAGATTGTTTCAGGAAAGCTTATTGATAAATAAGCCCCTTGTATTGCCATCATGATCATATGAATCTGTTATGTCCTCATTTCATTGTTACTATCAACCCATGATTTAACAAAAGATCCCAGAGGGATCCTGGTGTCCACTATTGTTTGATCCTTATTTGTTCTTTAAAAGTTGATCTTTTCTCTTCTTATCTTTTCTGTTTTTTCGTTCTTAATGATAAGAAATTTTAACAATCCTTTGCGGTCTCAAAATCAAAGGGACACAACCAGGGACCAATGGGAACTACATATGCAATAAAATGCTTCATTGTAAAAATCCAAGTTGGCCACCTTTTGGCCATTTTGCTTCTTTAGTTCAGTTCCAAAATTAGATGAACACATACAGAGACCAAGGGAAACCTACATATAAAATTTGAGAAAGATCCATCCAGCACCTCTCAAGAAATAACGATAACAAAAATGGTTTATGGACAGACGATGGACCACAGACATAGGGCGATTTGAATAGCCCACTATCTGATGATGGTAAGCTAATAAAGTTGATTCGTGTGTGATCAATACAAATACCTGAATCAATCACTAAATCTGTACATCAATGTCTCTTTGGTATCTACTTTACCAAATAACTTTTACTACAACATCTTTTCAAGAAAGAAACGTCAGGCAGAAAATAAACTGCCTACAAAAGTTATGCTACATCCAATTACGTTGTGAAATAGGAATGATTTGTAGCTAAATGGATGCATGGTGCATGGATAATATGGGAGATGTTTGTGACTTTTTTCATCATTATCATTTCATAGTTGCATACCTGGATTCTTTGGCAACTTCAAACCAGAGACTGTACTCATCATGGTAACTAATGACCTTGACCTCTTCTTCTTTCTTGACCTCCAACGGAGTACTAGGATAATATATTGCCTGCATCCAGTGATCTCTCCACTAAAGATAAAACGTACAAACCTTGTCAATTTGGTTTTTGTTTTTGTTGGGTTTTTTTATTCAATTGCCAAAACTTGTATTTACAAAAAAAAAAAAAAAAAAAGAAAGAAAAAAATAAACAAACTAACAAATAAAAAGAAACAAAGCATTCATGAATGATAGCTTGTAAAAAATGTACTTTTGGATTTGGAGTGGTCAAATGTGACCTTTAACCTTTACTGTTGGCCTCGATGATCTACATGAATTTAAAAGTTTGAATTTACATAGAAAGTCTGTTAAATGAAAATTTTATTCACAAGAATACAATCTGATATTGTGGTTTTCAAGCTTAACCAATCCAAATAGATTTGGAAGAAACTGGTTGAAAACTGAGGGAGAAGATATCTTGACAAAATAATATTTCTAAATGGTAAAATCACAATGTCAGTAAGCACCATTTTATGTAAAGGTTATTAAGTTGTACCAGAACTTGATATCCAATTCACATTTTGTTTGGCACCTCCCAATGGTGTTATATGGTCAGCATTTCAACTATTTGATAGTGACTGTCAGTGTCCTGCATAACTAAAGCCCCCTCCTCGTACATATATCTGTATCCAATCATCTTGATGCATACCTGAGTACTATTGTACTCTAATGTATAATTCCCTACTAGTGTCATTCGTTTTTCATGAACATTACTACAGTTAAGAAAATTATCATGTCAAAAATGTTAATAATATTATGATCTGACCAAGTCTGCCTTGATCAAAATCTAGGCTATTACAGAATCCCTAATTTTACACCTTGGTTACTCTTTCTGTTAAAGAATATAAGTGAGCAAGACTTTTACCAGAAATCATAGATACACAAGTAGGATGCATGTGCATGAGAACTCCAGAAAGAATAGATAGTTCACCAGTACGTTTGTTACACTTGTCGACATATTTTCTGGTACAATGAAAACCTGAATAAAACTGATTACTAGCTATGTCTGTCTAAGTGTGTTGTATATTGTAAGATTATTTTTTTACATCCTACAGCAGCGTTCAACATCAAAGTCCAGTTATCTGGTTACAGTTCAGTAAGTCAAAGTCAATTATCCAACTATTAAAAAATCTACCAAGTTTCCATGAAATTGGCGAAAAAACTGAGGATGGAGATCTCCATACAAAAAAATGAAAATGCCGATAAAAAACAAAGGGCTACAACTCCTTAAAAATTGTTGAATCAAACTTCTGTGAAAGAGAGCATCACTCCATGTCTTGATGATTTAAGCCTATTAAGTTTGAAAGAAATCATTTAAAAACTGCGAGAGATGATCTTTGAACAAGATTAACATGATGAAAAACACAAAGGGTAGCAACTCTTCAAAATTCTGTCAAATCAAACTATGGTTCATGAAAGCACAACTTCATGTTTAAGCCAACAAAAATTTAATTCAACTAGGTAACAATTGTAGAAGGAGATACAATAATATGTCCTGCCAAAAATTTTTGATAAATGTATCAAAGTCCTAAAAACTCACCTGTAACTCTTCAATGTGTGGATGTGCCCAGCTTGGTGCACAGCTAAGGATTATCTCCTCTTTAGTGTCCATTTCGAGGTCCCACCACATAAACACACCATCCACTTGTCCAGAGGTCAGACTCTTGACCACATTTTGAGACTGATTATGAAACGGTAAAGGTGTCTTGCCACTGAAATCAAACCTGTAGCACCAAAACATATTAAAGGCATTAATTCAAAGTATAAATAACTCTGCTATCGTATTACAGGTCTTCAGAAAATTATCAACAATAAGAGCTCTAGACTAACTGCAATTTCTTGTGTGCATAAAAGTACAAACACCTATCTGACTGAAATAGACACTTTGGATCAAAGCAGGATCTTTTACTGTGGAACTACTGAAATACATCATTCAATATTCTACTGGTGTGTCTTGGAGTACTCGACAGAACCATACCAGTATTTAATACTCTAATCCTAGAAATTCATTTATGTCTTGTTTGAACTAAACAACAAGCTTTCCTTTGTTAGTTCTTTTCAATGTTAACATAACCAATTAGTGCAAAAGCAAAAAAACTGCAGACAACATGTGAACAATACACCACAGACTGAAATTTAAAATTCAAATAAACTTGGACCCAACAGACCTGAATACTTTTATTGGATCAGAGATAATCTCAAACTGGTCTAACGGGATTTGGTCTAACTGAAGATCATGTAAGGATGGAGCTCCACCACAACTGATCAGGTTATCTGGGGGATTGATGTCATCACATCCATGCATTCTGATTGGCTGAATGTCTCTCCATCGTCGGACCAGCTTAGATTTGACAGGCTGAACATACATGTTAGCAACTGATGGCACCACAATACAGTCATTCTGTGAGGCAAAATAATACAGATTATTAACTACTGGATGGATAGTCCTGCATTTAGCAGATCTGGACCTAGAATAGCCTGGAAGCTTTTTACATATGGCAAATGAGGCACGCCATGAAGTATGATTGAACTAATGATAATAATGAGTGAAAAATAACTGTAGAGAGCACCAAGAGAAATCAGTGATGAAACTGTGTGACATTGAGTTATGTGTATCAGTAACTGTGTGACATTCAGTAATGTAAATGTAACACTGAATGATGTAAATAGTTACATCCTACCTACATGTCTTGTCGTATTTCGATCAGCTCAAAAAGGTATTCTCATCCATCTGATTGTCTACTATAAGAGTTATCTCCCCATGTATCATCTTTCTCTGTCAGGCATATACATAAAGCAGGAATTATTTACACAGTGGTATGTATTTAGTAATTATCTCATTCTGTCTCTCAGTTTTCCTCTGTAAGTTGCTGGTATTTAGGATTAATCACTATATCTGTTAGTCCTACCTGTAGAAGCTCTCTATGGGCATGTGTGAATGTACCAATACCCCCCTCTCCAATAAGTTCTGTATCAAACACCTCCGTGATCAAGATGTTTGCACGGGAATCCATGTCTCCATCTGTGAATAAAAAGTAGGTACCGGATATATCAATAAAATTTGTTTGTTCCAGTATTTTGATTCTAACCAAAGCTTTGTTCCACTTTAAATAAATCCCATATTTGGAATTTAGCAACTGTGTTTTCAGTTTTAAAATATCATGTCTTTATCATAAAGTATGTCTAACTGTTGTAGAATACACCTGATGCTGACAATCTCTTCTATTTACCAATAAAGGCTATATACATAGGTATATATCACATCACTGAATGTATCCCAAGACATCTAAGGAATTGAGTGTCTCAACAAATCCTTGAAAGAAAATTGTTTCTTCGGTTTTGTTAAGGAGAAAATTTGTAACACTTGGTTCAGCCCTCTAATGACCAACAATTGCAATCCTAGGCTTTTTATTTTTTCAACTCCTAAGATCTTTGTCGGGCTTCGTAATTGGAACATACCAGCAATATATCATGCCTCTAGACCATTTAATTAAAGGGAAGAAATAATTCAAATGTTTTAACAAATCTGACTCATTTGACCTTGAATACAGGTCATAGTCATTTCTCTTTGTTAACTTTGACAAGCTTCATCGTAAAAAATATCACCAAAGTATCAAAACATTTGGTTCATTTGTTATTGAGAAGAAGTTGCTTAAAGGAAAAGTTGATGCTGGCTGGATGTACTGATGGATGCTGTGTCACGGCATAAGCTCATTTGGCTCTTTGGGCCAGGTGAGCTATTAAATCTTTCTCTGTGACCTTAAATATGAGTAAAAATCATTTCTTTTCACAAATTTTGTAGTATTCCATGCCACCAAAATGGCCTAATACAAGTAGCAGTACACAGTTTCTCTGTGTGGCCATGGGTGATATTTTTGTTCATTAAATTACACCATTATAAAGACTTTATTGAAATCAAAAAAATAAATTGTCACTAAAGTTAAAATAGTCATGCTGAAGTGACAATTTGAGGCTTCATATTTTTCAGAATAATATTTTAGCATTGTGTTGGAGAATAATACTTGAACAGTCTTGAATGTGTCTACGCACTAAAAATTAACTTTACAGGAAGTGAAATTTCCTTAGCATCCACACTTGTTCTTGTTGTGAAACTTTTACAAGCTGGGGTAGGTAGAAACATCAGTAATTTGTTACTCTGACAGTGTTATCCATTTCTCGGCAGGTGTTCAGAAATAAACTCCTCCTTTAAAGGTGTAATTTTGAGTTGAAATAAGTGATATCTTAGCATTCAGGCATTTTTGAGTTGGTAGGGTAACAAATCTAATGATAGTACACTCTGGAATCTTGAGTACTGGTAAAGGTCATTTCCATCCCCAAATTTTATAACAGTTCTCATGTTAGTTGGCAAATAACCACATAACTTATGACATTTTTCTCTTCAGAATATTTTCTTTTGAATATCCAAACAAAATAGACACCAATGACTTTTATCTGAGTATATTTCTATTACTGGATTGCAATGAACTTTATCAAACTCCTTGCTTGTAAACTTGCAAAAAAGAACATTTGTTGCTCCCTCAGTAAATACAAATTATGTCTGTTGACAGAAAATTAGCCTTATTAACGTTAGGACCACAAACAGATTATGAAACTAGGTTAACTGACTCCTTTAACTGTGATATGTGATACTGACCTTTCCCAACCACAATTTCTGTGGAGCGTTTTGGTATCAACTTTATCTTGTCAGCAAAGCCGTTTTGTTGGATCACCTTCCTGGCACAGTCAGCCATAGGAGAGAAGGCCTGTACAATAGAAACATATGTTATGAAAGACTGTTAAATTCTATCTTATTTTGAGGCTTGCTGTGATGTGCATTAAAGTAGAATTAAAGCTAAATTCTGAATTTCTTTAAAATGATGGAACTTCAATATCACAATTGTTAAAGTGATTTAGTGGAATTCACAATCTTCATAATTCTAAAGGATGAATTGGAATAAAAATGTGTTTTAATTTGCAATCTATCAAGGGAACGATAAAGAGACTTACAATCTCAAATCATCTCAATAGAAAGTATTTAATGTGTAGCAAAATAGTTAAGAAAGGTGCACTCGAAAGCTATGCAACGTTTTTTTTAGGAAAGAAACTTCAATATCTCAGCTGGTGTCATGTCTTCTTGCAGTCTGAAATAAAATTAGTGTGGGCTCCATTGAGTCCCTGACATACTTACCTCACATGCAGTCACCTGGTCAGCTCCTAGAGAGGCAGCCATCATCGACAGAAGTCCTGTTCCTGTACCTATATCTAGGACATGAACCCTCTCCCCTCGTGTTCGCAAGATCACAACTGCATGACGCAATGCAGTGTAGTACTTTTGGTTCTGATAAATGCAGACAAGCATTAACTTTGTTGAGAACATAACAATGATTCAAGCTCTGACACCAAATTAAAATCAATACATGGAATCTTCATATATTTAATATTTCTCTGGTATACAGTGAAATTTTATTTTTCGGGGCCCTGTTCATATATGTTGTGTTTTGTTTATAGCATATCAACAATAAATTCAACACAGGATTGATGGGTAATCATAGCAATATCTTACGAATGGACTGATAATAAGGAATATTTAATGAATATTTCCTACTTTGATAACTGAGTTTCTGATTTCCCAATAACATGTAGACATTTCAGTCTGAAACATTACATTTTGTTATTTTCTTTTCACAATTCACAAGTGTTCTCTGTCATGATTTGCCTTATGGACATACCCTTTCTGTATCATGCAGCATGTCAGCATATGCAGATCTGAAAAGTAGAAAATGGCAGGTAATACAATCATTTGATATACATGTATATGTAACATACATGAAGATGTACATTGTGTATCGTAATATTGTAAAACGCACATTTGCTTGCAAGGTTCATCAAAGTGTGTCATGTAAAACAGTGTTCATATGAATATAGGTGCTGCTATATCTAATACTATCTTGCACTTATAGCTAAGAGATTCAAAGAAAGTACATGTGATGTCTCAGGGGAGTCAGCAGACTATGTATATTTTTGTAGCCATCTTAATAGACCTTGGTGACAGGCAATAAGTCAAATGTATAATGTGTATGTATCTGATTAAGTTTACGTACTAATTAAAAATGACACTGAACTAATCAAATTCAATTATTAAATGTCTGAAAATAAATCCCCTTGAAAGATGAAATATATTTCATACAGAATCTTCTCATATTTCGTCTTTTTTTCCCTTTGTAAACTTTCAAGGCACGCGCATCCTGACCCAAGTAATTCAAAATAAACAGATTTCTAGAGCAATCCATTTCAAATTAAATATATATATATATATAAAGGTAGCATTAACACGTTCATGAATTAATAATTGCTGCTGAAACTGACTGTTTACTATCACCTCAATCCGTGTTTACCTTGCAATTTCTTGATGGAAGTCATAATTGTCGTTTTGAAGACACCAGTCAGTTTTCCCTGTAACTGGATTTATTACAGATACGAATGTGCTCATCTTGCTACGAAAACAATTGATATCAAGAGCAGATATCCTCAACAATTGCTTAAATATTGATTGCATTTAACGCCCAACGTGTTGCATCAGGGCGCAGCCATCTTGGATGATCAGCTGGGGAGAAGCTAGAATACTGTTAATTATAATAGAAAAAATGTTGCCGGGACACTTTCCATTTGTTAACATTTCGATTAATTCTTTAATTCTTACTATCTTTTTCTTCATCCTATTTTGTGATTTATTTATAAATGCGAAACCGTGGTCATCAGGTGCGAACTATATATGCTCCTGAAGGTTGTTTTCCAACTTTCATTTTGGGAGAGTTCGAATGATGCAACAGACAATAGACAAGCGATGGCTGTTGATAGACATCAACACCCAGAAGCCTATACAGTAGTACTAAATTAAAGATGCCGCTTCTCTACAAAGTTGGCGACTGTGAAATCCGACCAAAGTTGTATCCCGTAATTGATTTTTCGAGTAGACCAGACAGTGTTGTCAACGTCGACAATGATGTTATTTCTTTAATTGAAGCTGTCAAATCCAACAAATTGGAACGTGTGGAAAACTACTTAGATGTTATAAAACAAAATAAAGCAGACATTCGAAGTGTTGTTAATGGAGCAAATGATAAACATGAAACTGCATTGTGTTCAGCTGTTATCAAGGTTAGTATATTTTTCGTTGATGAATACTTGATTACCACCAATAAAAGTGATTTTCAAACAGATGTCGAGTAATGTATGGACCAACATCATGTACAATTATGTTTGTCAGTCAGAACGTCTGTTGTTAGGTTAAGCAATTCCTCAAATTTTTACTCTCTTGGTCCTATGTTGAGCATTTTTGACAGCAATTTTGGGACGGATCAGAGAATTAATATGGCTGACAGGTGGATTTGACTGATATATTTTATCACCGGAAAAGGACTCGATGAACCTTTCTAAAACTCGTACGTCAATTGCACTTGGTTCTAAATTACACTATTTTGATTTTGGAACGGACCTGAAAAAGCAAAATGGCCAACAGGCGACCACCTTGATAGTAGGAGATTATCATTGCTTTTGGTTAAGAATGTATTCTTTTGACATTTGATCAGAAGTAATCATATTTAAATAGAATTCCAACATAATATCTTAGACTTTTATGCTCTTATACACTTTGTTATCGATAGTTGTACTTATAAATTGGTGATTTTTATTTACTTGTGGGGTGTTTTTAACAGCATAATTGAGGGCATGATTCATACAGTAGCGTCAACCATTTCAGTATTTTTTTTTATTGTGAAGGTACTTCTCTTGAGTATTACCATTTAATCATCAAATTTTGGAACAATTATCATCACAAATCACTGATTTCAAGTTTGTTAATTCTAACTTGGTGGAACACTTTCAAGGATTTTTAGCTGTTAACAAATATTTTAGCAAATCTCTTGCTCTTAGTAAAACTAGCTATTTTGCTCAAATTAAAAAAATAAAGCACTGAGATCCTGTTTTTTTATTGTAAAAAGTATCGTAAAATATTTCGCTATCAAAACAGAAAATCTTTGAAAATAAGTTTAATACTAGAAGATAGACATACAAAGGAATCAAGTTATTTTGGAATGTTTCAATTTTATGGTTGCTGTGCAGTTTAAAGCTCCTTAAATCAAACTTTTCACATTATCATTTTCACACAACTTTTCTCTTGATATTCATGTATCATACCCTTACCTCATAATGAAGTATGATAACTTATTTTTAAAATGGTTGCTTTGAAAGTAACAGAGAATGTCTTGTTCAGGAAAAAATAAGAACGATATGTAAATATGAATCTTTTTCTTCTTATACACATTCAGACTTCTATAAAAAAAGAAAAAAAAAGAAGTGAGGAAAGTACAAATGAAGATCAAACAATGGTAGGTGGGAAGTTCCCTTTGGGATCTCCTTTCCCTTTTGTATATTACAGAAAAATCTTGACATGTGCAAACTGTTAATCAGTAGCGGATGTGATGTAGACCAACAAGCCAGAATTCCTCCATTTTACCCTAGACTGTCTCCAATCAGTCAGGCTGTCATTCAGAACTCTGTCGACATTGTCAAGCTGCTACTGAGTCATGACTGCCAGAAAGACAAAGTGGATGATTATGGGTAAGTATATCATATTTTGTTTTAAGCTAGAGATGTAAAATTTGCTTGAATATCTAATAATTCTTGCTATTGGTGTAAAAGTGTGATTTTTTTTTTTTGTAATACTGCCTCTTGATACTTGTTATAAAATTATACTAGCACATCAATATTTTTACTGACAATCACAAATCTAACAATATTGTGTTTCTCTATCAATCTCAACATTTTTATGTTTACAAAGTGATGACCATTAGTACATATGTCACATTATACTATGTTACCAGACACATATGGTAATCAAAAGGCTGGTTAAGTCTATAGAATCAAAACTCTATCTGTCCATGGGAGGAGGGGGGTCATCAGTTAAGGTTAATATAAAATTTATTTATTTTACAACAATTGCGAAACAAGTTATGTTAACTTATACTAATCACTCTTGTTGGCCTGGATGTAAGCGCGCGAGAGGTCTTATTGTGGGAGGAAACCAGAGTACCCGGGGAAAACCCACGTGGTCGGGCAGGTGACCCCTTACCTTTTCACGTCCGTTCCGGGAATTGAACTAGATGAAAGGCGAATGCGTTACCACTGCGCCATCCGACCACCCTAAAAAAGTTAAGGTTAAAGGGTCAAATGCTACATATGACAACTTCTGCAAGTTTATCAAACAATGATACTGTAATGCATATTTGAATTGGGACACTCAATGTCTTACAGAATTTTCCGTTTTCATTGTTAAAGGTCATGATCACTGTTATTATAAATAAAAAATCAATTTTCCTGGGATAACTCAAGTTTGTTTTGGCCAATCTAAATCAAGCCTCATACATTGTTTCCTTACAAAAATTGCTTGCTTTGGATTGCTTTTCAGGTCCCAGGGTCAGTGGTTCAGATCATTATTACTCTTAGTGAAAAAATGGTTTCTGTGATAAAACTTGGGTTTCCTTGGACCAATCAAACTTAACCATCACACAATGCTTTCTTTCTGAAAGTGCTTGCCAGGGAGAACTTTTCAGACCCTGAAGTCAAAGGTTGAAATTACTGTTGCAATAATAGAAAATCCATTTTGTGGAATAGCTCGAGTTTGCTGTAGTCAATCTAACTCAAACTTGAGGCAATGCTGCTTAACAAAAGTGCTTGTTTGAGATCCAAAAGTCAAAGGTCACTGTAACTGTAAGTTTAATTCAGTTTCTATGTGATAATTTGAGTTTGCTTTGCCCAATCTAAATCAAACTTCATACAATGCAATCTTACCAAAAGTGTTTGATTGGGATATTACTTTTTATTGTATAAGCCACATAGCAGGGCCTTTGCTGACCTGGCAGTGTTCTAGTCGACCATTAGTTAACATTTTGGGGAGTGTTAAAGATTAAAGTATTAACACAAAACTACATCACATTTCCTAATCTAGGTCAAAGTTGTATTTTTTTCCCACAATATTAACATATGTTTGGTTGTTATAATTGTATAAATATCATGTTGTAGATTTTGTTTTTTTCAACAGAAAGTCAGCCATAGGTTATGCTGTCTCCAACAACCATGTTGCTATGGTGACTTTCCTGCTGGAATCCGGATGTAACATCAACAGTTTCATTCCAGAGTCTGGATATTCCCTGCTACATGATGCCTGCTCCAAAGAAAACCTGGAAATTGTAAAGGTAACCTTTACAAATTATATATGTGTATGATGTCTGAAATCTTTTTATGACTCCTAGATTTCATGTCCATTATCTGCTTTGTCAAGAAATTGTGCCATGTTAAATTTTTCCATTCAGCTCTTCATCAAGCAGACTTTCTCTCTGGTCCAAATTTAACCTATTCCAGAAGCTTTCACAAGTTGTTAATTTTAAAGGTCAGTTACCAAAATGCACTGGTATCTTGGTTTTTTTTTTTTTTTTCTCAATATTTTGATTTCTAAGATCTAGTTGGGAGATTGCCAGGGGTCGAGCCCTGGGATCAACACCTGTACATTCCTGTCCCCATGCAGGGGAGCTATCACACTACACACCATGCATACATAACACTCAGTTCATAATATTCTTTAACTGATATGCCATCTCTTGTAATCAATCACTTCCTCATTTCGTTCGCTATTTCATTAATTGATCAATTAATTGAATCATTCACTTACACAAAATATTTAAACATTTGAATTATTATTTTTTTTGTGTACATCTCCATGAAAAGTTTTATGCATGAAAGAGTGGGAAAGGGGGCAATCTATGATACTTTATTTTGTTCCCTGTTACATATGGACCTTGTTTTTCATCATAATGTTACACTATGGACACTTGAAATACCTAAGAATAATAGATATAGAATTGAGATGGACATATAGTGTAATGTACTTTCACAGTTTATATGAAAGAAATCAAACAGGTACAAGGTAACAGTTGTTATTTACACAAACAGGTACAAGATAACAGTTGTTTGTTTACACAAATAGGTGCAAGGTAACAGTTGTTTATTTACACAAATAGGTACAAGGTAACAGTTGTTTATTTACACAAATAGGTACAAGATAACAGTTGTTTATTTACACAAACAGGTACAAGATAACAGTTGTTATTTACACAAACAGGTACAAGATAACAGTTGTTATTTACACAAACAGGTACAAGATAACAGTTGTTTGTTTACACAAATAGGTGCAAGGTAACAGTTGTTTATTTAAACAAATAGGTACAAGATAACAGTTGTTTATTTACACAAATAGGTACAAGATAACAGTTGTTTATTTACACAAACAGGTACAAGATAACAGTTGTTTATTTACACAAATAGGTACAAGGTAACAGTTGTTTATTTACACAAATAGGTACAAGGTAACAGTTGTTTATTTACACAAACAGGTACAAGGTAACAGTTGTTTATTTACACAAATAGGTACAAGATAACAGTTGTTTATTTACACAAACAGGTACAAGATAACAGTTGTTTATTTACACAAACAGGTACAAGGTAACAGTTGTTTATTTACACAAACAGGTACAAGGTAACAGTTGTTTATTTACACAAACAGGTACAAGATAACAGTTGTTTATTTACACAAACAGGTACAAGATAACAGTTGTTTATTTACACAAACAGGTACAAGATAACAGTTGTTTATTTACACAAATAGGTACAAGGTAACAGTTGTTTGTTTACACAAATAGGTACAAGGTAACAGTTGTTTATTTACACAAATAGGTACAAGGTAACAGTTGTTTGTTTACACATATAGGTACAAGATAACAGTTGTTTGTTTACACATATAGGTACAAGGTAACAGTTGTTTGTTTACACATATAGGTACAAGATAACAGTTGTTTATTTACACATATAGGTACAAGATAACAGTTGTTTATTTACACAAATAGGTACAAGATAACAGTTGTTTATTTACACAAACAGGTACAAGATAACAATTGTTTATTTACACATATAGGTACAAGATAACAGTTGTTTATTTACACAAATAGGTACAAGATAACAGTTGTTTATTTACACAAACAGGTACAAGATAACAGTTGTTTATTTACAGATATAGGTACAAGATAACAGTTGTTTATTTACACAAGTTTTTTCATCTTATCTCACTTTATGAAGAATATTCTCAGGGGCTACACAGAATGACTGCTTCTGGTAGTTAATTATTAAACTTTGCTAATTGAAGCTAATGTGCAATTGTATCTATATTGGAGCCTGTAGTTAAAGACAATTGTAAGCCTACAGGTCCAAGTTGTAATTGGTGAGGGTCAGGCAAAAACAATCTGCAGCTTTATGATCTCACAGGATACATAAACATTAATTTATCAGCAGTAGAGCCATTTAAATTGATGTTAGGTACATGGCTATAATTGTGGAGGGCAAGGACAGCCATATCTGTGTATGGACCCAGGGTACTTATCAGTATTATTTAGTGGTAATTGCATTAAGAATACAGGTTGAATGAAATTAATATCCCTGTATCTGTATTGAAACCTGTAGACAAATGCTAAAGGTGTTTAGTCTACAGGAATATGTTGAAATCGGCCCCGTGAAGACAACCATATGCCAGATCTTCCTGATACATACATCATTACTTTTCAAATTTTTGGTTTACATGTTTCAGCTTTTTACCATATCTAATTAAAAACCTAATATCTGATTTGGGAGTAAGATTAAGTTAATTGGATTTACAGACCATGTGCAGGGCTCTCACACCTCATTTTAGGACTGGGGCCCAGGGCCCTTTGAATTGGGAAAAATAATGGTGTTTTCCTTAGAATTGGGAAAACTTGGGGTCTAAATTGGGGAAAAAAAGATACTATTTTGCATTGGGAATGGGGTCGAATATCGGCCCCAATCTGGCAGATCCAGAGCCCTGATGTGTCTGGCCTTGTTCACTTAATACAACTACCCTCTATAAACAACAATCATTTAAGTAACCAATTCAACATACTGAAGATAGTAAGTATTCATGCATGTAAGAAAAATACATACAGATTGGTAGTCACACATGACTAACTAAAGACTACATTTATATTGTCATAAAGTATGCTAAGAATATAATGTATTTCACCTGAAAGTCACAGGTAGGTGTAGATCTTTATCATAACTTGACTGCAGATTCAGGTTATTGTAACCATTTAAATTGTATCAATATACATAACTTACGTTGGACGTGACAATTAACCCAATGAAGTTCATAATGAATTAGAAAATGGGGAAAATATTAATAATAAAGACTTGACACCTGTTTTGAAAAAAATCACCAGATTTAACAAGCCATATTACAAAAACACTGTATACATGTAGTATAAAGTGACCTTGTTTCTAAATCTAACTTATAAGCACAATCAAATATTAAAGTGACACTTCATATGACTAACATCCATGATAATTAGCTAGCTGAAACATGTCAACCTGATAAAACTACTGATCACAGAATCCTTGGTGTTGATGCTCCATCCTTTATTAAGTACCTATCGTCTATGGAGCTCTGCTAGAATCCTTCGGATCCACCTAGGATTCTTCTACCGATACATCTACCATCTAGTACCACTCACAGGACATTGGACTCCTCCACCTCTTTTTATTTTTCCAATCCATGATACTTGTATAAAGTTAACACCAATGATGGATAGGGGTGTTGATGAAAAAATTTTAAAGCATAGTCCGTCTGTCCTTCAAAAACTTCTCATATCACTGAGCCTTTTCTTCCCCTACCTCATTGACCATTGGTCAAGTGTCCTTAGTGACATCTGATTAGTGATATTGCACTGACCATGGTGCTAAATCTTATCCCCCTCCTCAATACATATATATTTTCATCATTTATAAAATTTGGTGCAGAGACTACAGGTTCTAAATATATACCCATCTCACTGTCATATTACTCAAAATATTTATCTAGTTAATTAAAGACATAAGACAGAATAGCAGTATGACAGTAGATTTGTTTGTATAAACTGTTTTTTGTAACTTTCTATATTAAATTGGTATGTTGGATAAAGCAGAGTGTGACCTGAAACAAAATATTTAACATACAAAAAACACTCATTAATACATAATGTTCCGTTTTCATTGTAGATATTATTGAAGTGGGGTGCTGATCCTAATGCTCTGGAAATGAAGGAACGTATAACTCCAGGATTTTTCACCAACAAAATAGAAATTCATCAACGATTGATCGACTATGGTTGTAACATCAATGCGACCAGTAGGGCAGGTGACACTGTCTTACATATGGCCATCATCCACGGAAATGTACAACTTGTTGAATTCCTCCTAAATCATGGTGCTCTTATGAATGTGAAGCATGTCAAGTTTTTATACTCTACCGAAAACTTACTCTGCAAAGTCACTTTTCAGGATCCTCTTGAGCTGGCAGCAGAGCAGCATTACTTCAATATATGTCAAGTTTTGGTAAAGCATGGATGTATTACAGAACAACCTCATTCTGAAAATAAAGAGTTATGGTGTAGATTGTTAAACAGTCGAGATAATGACTTGCTTGTGACATTGTTGTATGATTATCTTCCCTTGTCTTCTAGAGACATTGATGCAAAGTCAAATCTAAAATTAATCTTGCAAGACATTGTGGATATTAAAGCACTTGTGTGGAAGGATGCTCCAAGCTTGAAGACGATGTGTCGTATAGTTTTACGGACCCATCTAAAGAAAATCTGTTTAGGCCGGAGTATTGGTTGTTCCATTGAATGTCTACCTCTGCCTCCAGTTTTAAAGAAGTATTTAATGCTCTGTACTGATGATTTTAAATATACACAATTTGTTGATCTCCATTGATAATACTCAGACAGAATTTATGAGTGATTTATATATAAACTGTCAGGGGTTTTAGATAGTGTAATGCTCAACATATTTACATACAGTTTTGATTGTTCTTAGACATTGTGTTACTTTTAAGGCATCTGATGTCTACTGCCAACATGCTTGAACTGCATGTTAAGTTCTAGGTATACGATATGATTTCAATATCTAGCATGCACATGTTTAAGGTTTCCAGTCTGCCATAGTGTGTGAGAAGTAGCTGTGAGGCTACACTATGTAAAAACTATTGATGAGAAATTTCCATTATTGCAATACATTTGTGCTAAATGGTTTCTGCATCAGAAACTTTTTTTTACCTATAGTGAAACTTTTGCTAATGTTTGTGAAAACATAGAGCAAGGAGCATTAAAGTGTCAGGATTTGGAATTTTATATAAATGTTACATGTTTTTCCCATTTAAAGATGTTGTAATAAACATTTGAGATGTATATAGTGCTTCCTTCAGGTATCCCAAAAAATCCAAACTTGGGATCACTTTTTGTGGATTTTTTAAAATTTTAACACCTGTATTATATGAGGGTACGTTTTACAGAATTCATAATTTGTGACTTAAGTATAATTTTCATTTTTGTTATGTTTGCTTTTGCTTCTTGCATACAAAATGCCAAATGTATCTTCTGCGATTACCTATGGTATATATGTACATTTATATATGCTAGATGTGCTGGTGCTGTATTTTGGAAAGTCTACACATATTTTCATTATATTTATCTTACCCAGTTACCTCATTTGTCCTGTTTTCTAATCAATCCTAATCCCTCGCCGTGATAAAGGATGATAAAATCTTTTAACATGGTATCTTGCAGGCCATTACTATTTTAGCAGAAGTCAAACTATGCTTTTGTTGGCTTATTTCTTCCATTATCTTAAAATGTATGTAGTATGAAAGTGTTTAAAATTGTATCTTTGACAACTCTATAATGAATATTATATCATGTAGTTGATGTGATCACAACCTCTGTTACAACCCCATGATGTTCGGGATATACACTTTAAATAGCTATTAGTGCAACATAAATCTGCTTTTCTTCAAAAATTGTGACAATTTGAACTTGTTTCAGTCATTAATAAGAAACTCTTCTGGGAAATGCTTGTTACATGTGTTCATGTGCTTTAGTGGTCACATAAAACATTTTCCCAGTAAATTAGTGACAATTTGAACTTGTTACTGTAGGTTTTTAACTCTGATAGATTTCAATTAATTCAGATTTCATGATTTTAAGACTGAAAATGATGAATTGTTATTCCGATTTTGTGATGTATAGATGTATATACTTGTTATTATTTCAGTGTGATGTTTTTACATTTTGTTATGTAGTGCTTGTTTTATTATTTGCTCAGTGCTTATGGGTCAGCACATGTTATACATAACAGTGCATGCTTTATCTGCATTTACGGAAACTATGGGTATTTATAGATACATCCAACCTATATACAGATTGGAACCAGCTTTTCAAATGTTAGCTCACTTTATTTAATTGCATCTGTATTATTATCCACCAATATATATATATATATATGTATATTTTCATATTCTAAACCATGGTCCTTTGTCTTTCTTTTTTTCTATCTATCTTCAACCTTGGTGTTATTATTAATGAAGATCTATCTCAGAATTTGTATGTTGAAATTTGATATTGACTAAGAGAAATAGAGTGATGGTAAGGCTACCATATATATTTCATATAGAAGATAAAGACATCAGCAAATAGGGTACACGCCAACCTAACGTGGTTTAGAGTAAAAAGGTATGATGTGAAAAGACAACTAAATGCATTGTTACCTCACACAAAAAAGGAAGAACAAAACAGTTCAATCTTTTGCTCTAGGAATTATTTTGTCGCTGTTGATAACTTCTGTACAGGTACATTGAATGAGACCACCTCTTAAATAACTATGACACCAGGAAAAAAGGCTTTCTATTTCTATTACATTCAAAACGTTGTTATTCTTATTTCGCATTAGGGATAGTTGGAGGACAGAGAGTACATAAAGTAATCCAGATTGTGTCAATAATCGTAGTAAGTTCTCAGTTATATGATAAAACATAACCATATAACTATATCCGCCTGTGTGACATCAATGCCGCGTCATCAAAGATCACTATGTTATACAAAACATTATACTTATAAAAATCAGAATCTCAATTACACATATGCACATACATTTAAACCTGAAGGAAGTAAATATGGATTTTTAGTATGGGGAAATACCACCAATCAGTAATTCGAAGTCATCAATTCTGCTCTGTCGTGTACTGACAAGTTATAACGACAAACTAGGATCTTACAGTGTCACACTGTTTACCTGTTACAGGTGTTAATTACATGTATCATCACATCTATAGTTTTATTTGTGTTTACATATATAAACAACACAGAGCTCATGTGATGTAAACATGATAAAGATCAGGTGGACAAATCCTGCTGCGTTCTGTAGTTTTACCAATGAAGAGAACATTCTATCTATCAATTGTACAAGGAGCTCTGTGCTACTTCTTTAACTCCGTCATTCCTTTACTCTTGGTTATTTTTATTGTGTCGTTGGCAGAGCTGGAAAGTTTTCAAGACTTTTTTCGATTATGCTTTGAGTTATCAAAATAAAATTTAGTACATGGCTTTTTGTTGGAAGGGTACAGTTTAAGTTCAATTTCCGGCTGTCTGTGAACCTTCTTGGCAGAGTAATGCCCCTTTGAACTTAGAAAATTCTCTGTGAATATTGTTTTCCAGACTTTTTTGGGTTATCCTTTGAGTTCTTGAAATGAAATTTGGTATATGGCTTTTTGTTGGCATGGTACCGATTAAGTATGATTTCTGGTTGTCTGTAACCCTTCTTAGCAGAGTTATGCCCATTTGAACTTAGAAAATTCTCTGGGAATATTGTTTTCTGGACTTACTTTGGTTATGCTTTGGGTTATAGAAATGAAATTTGGTATATGGCTTCTTGTTGGAAGGGTACAGATTAGTTTTGACATCCAGTTCGATTTCTGGGTGACCCTGGCACTTTATGCAGGATCATCATCATCATCATCCATATGGTCCGTACATGTATCATCCTCCGTAATGTCATCATCATGACCTTCATCATCATCTGCATCATTCATATCCTCGCCTGCATCAAATCCTATCATGATGACAATAATAATGATCATCATCATCACCTTAAACATCACTATCACCATCATCATCATCACCATCATCATCATCACCATCACCATCATCACCATCACCATCACCATCATCATCATCACCATCGCCATCACCATCATCACCATCATCACCATCACCATCATCACCTTAAACATCACCATCACCATCATCACCATCACCATCACCATCACCATCACCATCATCACCATCACCATCATCATCATCACCATCGCCATCACCATCATCACCATCACCATCACCATCATCACCATCACCATCATCACCATCATCACCATCACCATCATCACCATCACCATCGCCATCACCATCATCACCATCATCACCATCACCATCACCACCATCACCATCATCACCATCATCACCATCACCATCATCATCACCTTAAACATCACCATCACCATCACCATCATCACCATCACCATCATCACCATCACCATCATCCATATCTTCCTTACATGTAACATCATCCGTATCATCATCATGAACATCATCATCACCATCATTCCCATCATCATCTAGATCATCATCTGTTTCATCATTATCACACATACATGCAATCCCTTACATATCTGCCCATCCACACATCCATACACATTTACCTTCATAACAGACATATAGACATGCACATCTACAAAAACACAGCCTGAGAGAGAGAAAGAGAGAGAAAGAGAGAGAGAAAGCGACATAGAAATGGAGATAAAGAGTAATAAGTAAAATTGATGGTTCTGAAGCTACATGATAGTGGGTGGTGGTAGATATTTGATACATGAAAATTTAAAATGCTATTGTATATAAATACTGCACAAAAGGGCATTTGTAAAGGACTGGAGACAGAAACTGAAGTTTACTTAATGTTTTGACAAGACAATACATGTAGGTAATAAATGTGTCAATGTAACATTAGCATTAATTTTCCCTACTTCTTCCAACCATGTAGTAGTTTCATGTTATCTGAGTTATCTAATCTATGCCAAGCTCCCAAAACATCTTTCCAAAAACTTTTATTACAATTTTTTTAAGAAATCTTTATATAGGTACCTCCAATTTGTAGCAGTCTATTTACGTTCACTAATTTCTCCAGAATTACTCTCCATTTGCCTGGAGATGAATATAATCTTTCAATCCAACTCAATTTCAAAGCATCAATGAAGTTATAAATATTAAGCATTTTAAAACCACCATGAGTATAATCTTGTACAATAACTTCCCTTCCCTTAGTCTTGACTGTTTTAAGGGATTTGACTTCCTCCATGTATATCTAGTACAGTCAGGATGATACTGTCTATAATGTCAACTAAGTTATAATTATGAATAATTTCTAGAATTTTGTCCCTAGCTTTTGGATTATTTATAGACTTATAACTGCTATCATAATCTATGTCAGGATTGATTACTAAGTTAAAATCACCACAGATAATTACTCTGTCATTACCAAAACTGCCTATAGTGTCAGCAAGTAGGTTATTAAAATCTGGTTCGTACAAATTTGGACCATATAATGTAATAAGTGTAATATTCATGTCTTCAAGTTCTACCTCGATAGCTAAAAATTGCCGGACAAATCCTTCTTCTCTTTCTTAACATTAAATTCAAAATTATTATCAAAAATTATTGCAACACCCCTTGCATTGGATTTAAAAGAATCAAAATAAAATTTGTAACCCCACTCATTACGAATAATATTTTAACAAAATTTTGTCAACAAACGGTACGTTAACAACAGACCAACCTAACAAGATACATAAAAAAGGCCTCACTTAAACAAAATTTTTTCAACACAGTGTG